TAATTATAATCATCATACAAGCTTTTCCTCTCTAAATTTGCTCTCTCTCCCTCTCTCTCTCTAGCTTGGTTCCGAGAATCCATCAGAGAGAGAGAGAGAGTATTTATGATAGAAAGATTTCAACATTCATTACCTCACAAGAGAGGAGAAAGAAGAGAAGGCAAAAAAGAGAGCTAGGAAACAGGGAACAAAGGGCCAGTCCCATTTGGTTTATCTGAGTCAGGGATGCTAGTGTAGGTGCACAGATTACTCGACAACTCCCACTTCCAGTCCACCTTCCTTGACACATACAGTTGGGGCAACCTGTTGATCCTCACATAGTGCTCTCTTATCCTATTACTACTACTACTACTCCCCGCCTCGTCACTCTCAAGGTAGCTGGTGACCACACAGTAGCACGCCTCGTGTCCACCCCATGTCTGGTCATCTTCATCTGCTGTCTGGCTCCCATCTTGATGGAAATAGCGTCTCAAAGGAGCTCCTATGCCGCTCCAGTATGGGTCCATGTCTTTCCAGTACTGGGAAACATCCTGAGTTGTAAACAAAGCCTTGTTAGCCACAAAAAATATACAAGTATCATTCTATGATCTATCTTGGCTGGCTAGCTAGCTACTAGCTACATCTTAGCTTATACTTGCGGCATACCTTAGTGTAATGAAATTCCCAAGCATGATCACAAAGGTCATCCCTCAATATTCGGCCCTGAAATAAATGCACATTTTAAATGAAACCGAGCATACAGGGGGGTGTAGCTTGAGGTTGCTAAAAGATCGAACTTCTTGCTTTTCTTTATTCTTTCAAAAAAGAGCGTTCATTCCATTTAGGGAAAGAGTCCAAAGAGATGATGGGTTCACGTTGTTTCTCTCTCCTCTGCATAAACTTCCACCATATAATTTCGTTTTTCTATAAACTCCGTGAAAAAAACAAACAATAACTTCTTTTTAGTGACAGAGGAAGTATTACTCACACGTTTTCCGTCCGTGACTGACATGGAGTAAACATCCAACTTCGCAAGTCCTTGTTGCTTTGACATGCGGGGTATATGTGCCTTTCCAACCCATAACTCTTCACACTACAGAAGTGTTCAAGAAAAATCAGAAAAAGAAGTCGCACCAGTTATCTACTGTCACAAATGTAATTAATATGCCTCAAGTAACAAATCCTAATCATTTCATGCGATTTTTAGGCAAAGTACATGGAAAATTCAAAAGCCTGTTCTTGAAACATGCTGGCTTTCTTCATAACTCTAAGGGTCCAGTTTCCAAAAATCACTGTTAAGGATATACTTAACTGTACACCATTGGTTGCTAATAATAACTCTCTGAGCCAACACCAACTCTACTGATCAGTGGTCGAAGAACAATCTCGTTTACAAAATGATGTCTTAATTTAAAACACAGCAAAAGAATTTAACATCAACCCTACAAATCTACCTATACCATACATCTGAATGTACGGTGTTTCTCGTACACCGGCATGAATATTTATTCTCGAGAAACATAATACATATTTCCGAGTAACTAAGTACTCAGTTTCAAGCATAACTGAATTGTGACAAAATGAGCATTCAGTTACTCGAAAATGAGTATTCAATTGATCAAAAATATGTATTAAGTTAAATCGTAAATGAGTAGTCGCCGGCTGCAAAACATATATTGGTGCAAATCATCATAATCCCAACCTGAAATCAATTCCCCGCAAACTCAAAGGATGAAAAGAGGCACATGAGTTGAACGGATAAAGAAGAAAGTAGTGACCATAACAAAGACCAAAGTCCTCAAATTTCTTCAGGCATTTCAAAACATTGAGCTAATGAAGATAAGACATTATCCCCACCTATTGGCTCTAACACTAGCCCAATAACCAGTGCATCCATGGGAGTAGCTTCGTACTTATTAGGTTAACAAGGCTGAAATTAAATGTTTTGAATTCAATCTCTGACACAAATAACTTGAATTGACAGTGTTAGTTCTACCAGTAGCCAAATATTCTTCATAACAAGCTAGAATCCATACACAGATGATGGAGAAGGAGAGCAGCAAACCTTGGGACCCCAGATGGCGTCGCGGGAAGCGACTCCGTTCCAACTACGGCAGACAAGGAGAGATAGTGCCACGCTGCGTGCGTCGAGGTGACTCAGAATCGCCAGCATGATGTCCGTACCGAATACCGAGAGCGGATCCATCGGATTCGAAGGAAACCCGGCTCCGGTTTCACAGATTTCCTCGCTTTCTTCTTGGCCCTCCTCTTCACGGTGCTTGGACTTGAATCCGCCGCGTCCCCCCGCGCAAGCGAAAGCCACACAATTAAAGATATTTTAAAACATTTCAAATTAAAAATTCAACATTTAAAAATAATTTCGACATTTATCTAGATGTTTTCAAATTAAAAATTCAACATTTAAAAATAATTTCTTCAGGCATTTCAAAATATTTATCTATAGTGCCTCTATAATTAGAAAAATTGGTACCAATATTTCTTCTGTTTTTAAAATTTATTTCTAAAGTCTTTATAATTTCAAAATGTTGCAGTAGCACCCCTTATGATTATTTTCGGTCATTTTATGGTAAATGGGGGCATTGGTACCTAATTTTTAAATCATAGGGAGGATTCCTGTTCTTTTTCTTATTTTTTGTTTATTATTTGTTTTTGCCCTTTTTTAACTCTTTTTTATCCCTTTGTTTCTTTTTCTTAGGAAATTTTTTAAAATTTCTTTTAAATTTTTTATAATGTTCTAAAAAATTAAAAATTCTTGGTGTTTGAAATAAAAAAACATATACTCCAATTATCTCAAATTCAACCTTTTCAATTTTTATTTTCTAGAATATTTTTTTGGTAAGTTCAAAAAGAAAATTCAGAATAAAAAAATTTAAAATATCAAAAAAAAATGAAAAAAAAATTGAAACATGATTCTTATATAAAATGATATTTTCAAAACGTCTAAAAAATCCTTAGAATTGGGATGTCCAATTCTAATAAAAGAAACAAATGATTTGAAAAAAGGGAGAAAACAAAAAAATAAACGAAAAAATAAGAAATGAGCATTGGTGCCCCATATGTTTTGGAAAATAGGCACCAATGTCCTCTTATTCGTTGAAAAAATGGTCGGAAAATGATTAGAGAGGGTACGAGTGTAACGTTTTGAAATTACAAAGACTTTAGAAATGAATTTTAAAAACATGGAGGGCATTGATGCATATTTTTCAAGCCAGAAGGGTTAGTGGTCCTATTTGGCCTATAAAGAATTGTGAAAGCCTTCAAAGACAACATCATAAAACATCATTGGCACTTAATGAATTCACCAAAATGAGTAATTTAAATTAAAATAGTTTCGAGTCATCCATTTCGCTTAATATCCCTGACCGTCGGGTTACTCATCCATTGCGGGACAACATCATCTACTTCCGAACAACACCATTTGATGCCGGATAGAGAATCCGACCTTGGTCCCCAACCAATTCGCCCAATTTCACAATAATTAACATAAACAAAACCCCAATCGAATCTTAAAGCATGCTCTTGCCAGAATTTAATAGTCAAGATACTAATTTACAATCAATTGTTAGAAAGTATATCAATGAAGTTCTAATCTACGAATTAACCCTAATGGAACTACGACTCACCTTGAAATATTGAATAATTAGACAACTTAAACAAATAAAATGGCCAGAGTGAACATGCAGTGGCAATCAGCTGTGCTGCCTCGAACAATCCGGTGAATTGATATGTGCCTCACTCCCTTTCTCGAATTTTAGTACTCCATAGATGAATATTACTCCGTGTGTTGCACTACTTTATGCATGCATATACATCTATTTTTGTTTATAATTTTTATCCATAAGTCCAATTTTGACAAATAATATATTGTTAGTCATCTTCTTACAAGATCTATCTAACAACACCAATAATATACATAAAGTTATAGTTATGAGTTATGACAAAACTATATTCTATTCTTTTACTTTTACTTTCTTTTCACACTTAGGACAGTCAAGTTACCAAGTTTCGTAACTCAGATTCACACACGGGATACATTGTCTAACTCATCTCATCGAAACCTACAATCCAGTTATTGTCGACCGCTTTTTGGCCACCACCCATCATTGGGCATTCCTGCTTATCACTAAGAATAATCATTTTAGATCTCTCCAAATACTCTCATTTTAGGTTTCAGTACCCATATTATATATACTTTTTAAAATTTCAAAATATATACCATATACATATTCTAAAATTCATCGAACGGGTCGTAAGAACATGGAATATATAGGACCATTGAACGGGTCCTATGAATATCTTTTTGGAGAAACTGGTAACTGATGAGAACATAAAGAGAGTGCATAAGAGCTTCGATCTGAATTCCTTCTACTTTCTCTGATCAACTCGTTCGTCTTCCTTTTACCTCTGATCGAGGATAAGCTTATAATGTTCTTTCGATCTATCTTCCCTCTTCAACCTCCTTCGATCAAAGAGCATTTGATTGAAGAGAATTCTCAGGTCGTCTTTCTCTGTTGGTGACAATATCGGGCTAGAGTTTGCGAATGAGATGAAGGGATGAGTTTTTAAGAACGGAAATAATTTAGATCGACTTCTTCATTACCCTTCCCACCTTGCCCCAATCATACCACATGCCACCCCTACTTCCTTGCCCCCTCCTACATTGCCACTCCCAATGAACTCCCACCGGCCACCGCATCACCTCTACCCCTCCCTTGCGCCTATACTTCCACTGCATCACCTCTACCCGTTATATTCATGTTGCAAAAACAATTAAAACAATTTTTAAAATATACTTTTAAAATTATCAACAATTAAAAGCTTTTTTGTTCAAAATTTTTTTTCTTCTTATTATAAATGGGAAATATTAGAGAAAAATACGAGTAAATTTTTACTCCAAAAGTATTATTTTCTTAAAATATTTTCTCTATAACCAAACACTCACAAAAAAAAGAGGAGGTAATAGACCCAGGCCATCTAGCCACACTATAGATTGCCAACGGAAAAACATACCGGAGCAAAAGAGAGAGAGGAGAGCACGCAGGAGATCTGCTCTGAAATACTGCTAAATTATATAGAGCAGAAAGATCTCCTTTTCCCTGCCCCGATCAGATCGGAGTCCACCTTTAATCGACGCAGAATTTAGGGTTTTAATTGCAGATCCTTTCGTCGTGGGCACGTTCCTCTCAATCACGATTTTCAAATATTTTGCAAGCCTAAAACCCGATCCGGCGGAATCCGCAATCCATTCATTTCTTATCTCTTCCCGTCTTGATACATTCGTATGTGCGCGCATACAGATTTTAATGTACGTATGGTCCGTGCCGACTGCCGTCTGGTAGAAACTGGGGTTTGATTTCAGGGTTTAAAATAAAAGAATCTTGAAACGTTATGAGGATTCAAATCCATTGGGCATAAAATATATTTGAATTGGTCCAATGGCGTCCGTCCAGGTTCTGCGCAAGCAAGAGCATTTGGAAGCGGGGAAAAAGAAGGTGCGCGTTTGTTCTTCGCTCCTGCTCAATTGGGCTATATTTTTGGGATTTATTTCATTTAACGCTCATGCTCATTGGAAACTTTGATTGAAAATCAGTCGATGAAAACTTTCAGCACCTAATATTGCAAGGATGTTTATTTTAAGAAACTTTTGCTGATCTATTGGCTAGATAGGCATCTAATACAGAAACGGATATTCTTGAAGTGCCCCTTAGATGAAGGTTTTGTGCATGCTACATGTAGACATTTGTTTTATACCTCAAACAACAAAAAGTTTTCATTTTTCAACTTTGGATTAAGATGAATAGGTCTGTTTCTGCGTACATTCGACCCCCAGCCCGCAATGGGCGGGAGCCTTTGAGGCATAGGGGTAATGTTGGCATTCTATGTTGATTCTTTAGTATTATATCTACAGTTAGAAGAGTTTCGGAAAAAGAGGGCAGCAGATCGGGCTAAAAAGACAGCATCTACTAATCAAATCCATGCATCTGATGGGGGTTTAGAGAGACAAACTCTAGATACAGAACGAATACAATCAGCTCCTGATGGGGCAGGCACATCAAATGCTGTTGCAGTACCAGATGTAAAGAGCGATTTTAATGAAAGTGAACTTCCACAGAATACCAACTCTGGTACTTCCAATTATGCAAGTTCTGCTTCATCATTTGTAGCACATAATGATGATGTTGCATTTTCTATCTCAGAGGTCTCTGGTTCTAAAGTTCCAGAATTTCATGGCAATGACGTTTCAAAATTTTTGCCACTTGGATACCATAGTGATCATCCCAAAATGGAAGCTGAACATGATAGAGAAGCAGGAAGTTTTGCATTTGAGAGTGCATCTGATCATTTTGCAGATAACACTTTACTGCCTTCTTTTTCAAATGGTGGCAGGGTTTCTAGTAGTTCTGATTATAATGGTCGGTATAGTGCTGTTTCATGGTCAAACAAGAGCAGTCTGAAAGATCTTTCAGCTGTTAATTTCACTCCTCATACTTTGGCAAATGATTCACTTGAGAACTCTGCTAGCTCCCATCTGCAGCCAGAGAAGGCTAGTGTTACTGATCATTGGGGTCAGACATTTTCTTCACATAAAGGTCTTTGTGGTCATCTTTAGATTTCTTATCTATTTCTCTTGTAACATTTTCATTCTCTCTCATCATTTACACGGACTACACATCTTATCATATTGCTCATTTTTTGCATACAATCTTACAGCATGTGTTTTTTTGATAGACTCCATGCCACCTATTGCAAGCCCCACTGATATTACTCCTCAAGTCGGACAAACAAATGGTGCCTTCCAACATGATTATTCTGTTCATCCTGATACTGGATATAGCCTGTTTGGTGGATCTGCTTCTTACATGGACAATGCTTCAACTCAGTTGGCATCTGATGCCACACATGGCGGATTCCGTTTTAATGCCCAAAGTTCATATAATAATGCACAGATATCTTCTCCGTCAACTGGGATTGTTTCTAGGAAGCCCCGCTCCTCATTTCTTGATTCAATTAACATTTCAAGAGTTCCTGTTACACCCTCTCCTCTTGCTGAAACAGTGAATTCTGATACTTCTAGCTCCAAGGTTCATCCAATGGACAATTTGGCATCTCCCACTTCTGAGAGATATATGAATTCTTCGGATGCATCTGGTAATGGGCCTGAAATGTTTAAATATGCCATTGCAAAATGTATGGAGACCAACCATGGTTTTCATTCACAAAACCAGAATGAAGACTTTGCTGCACTTGAACAGGTCTGATCCATATGCTTTTTTTTTGCTATGTTGCCACTGTTTTGTTACTCTAATATGCTTCATAATGACCTATTTGATATAGAGCAATAAAAAGATATTTCATATAATATGGTTATATTCATTGAATTTTCATCACCAAAATTGTTTTGAAGTCGCTGTTTGTTTCTACATGGCACACACCAAACGTGAATTAAAAGTTTTAGGAGTTTCTCTTCATATAAGTGAGGACTGAGGAGATCATCTTTTAGACTTTCAAGTGTAGTAGTGTAAAATTGACTGCTAAATGCTCTGATGATCTCATAATTAACAAATCAACCCATTTTATGGAAGGTACAAATTGTAGATGATTGTCCTGTTTTGGCCCAGTTTGGTATTGTTTTGGGTTTACAAGCCACAATGCTATCTTCTTTAGAAGTTTGAATGGGATGGAGGGTCTGGATAAAAAGTTACATCTTTAACATGACATTTTTTTACCTTACTCAAAGTCAAACATGACTATTTTTTTAAGATAGAGGGTGTGTTTCATTTTTATCTCTTCAATTTGGCTGTCACCCCATGGTGTTGGTTAACAACAACAAACCCAGTATAGTCCCAAATCCGTTGGGGTCTGAGGGTGAAGCTGTCCCCACAAAAAATAGAGAGGCTATTCACCATAGATTCTTGATGCATTGCATTTTCTGCACAAAATTTCATTGAAAGTAAGAAGCAAGGGAAGTTTAATGTTCCATTTTGATTTATATACTCGGAGCTAAAGTATTGTAAAAAATGAATCTTTTTTGCTTCGTACAAAAAGATGACTTATTGAGCATTCTTGGTTTTTCTTTCTCTTTCAGCATATAGAAGATTTAACACAAGAGAAGTTCTCTTTGCAACGCGCTCTTGAGGCTTCACGATCATTAGCAGAGTCTTTAGCTGCTGAAAATTCAGCACTCACAGATAGTTATAACCAACAGGTGTGTCTGCGTTTTGATTACTTATTTATGTTTATCTGCTTATTATGGTGAAATAACTGAAATAGTAGTGTTGTCTCTATATCTGTACTTGTAGCCTTGTAGGACAGCTGTAGTATACTATCTTAGGGCCTTTAAACCGACACAAATTTCCGAATGCTGTAGTGCGATGCTAATCATGCCATACTTCTGCTTGCAAATATACATCTATGCATACATTATTTTAAATACATGAAAAGTATGACACTTGGAGAACCTTTTGTGGACCCTGTTGGTGTTTGTGTTTACATAAGAATTGGCGAGAAAGAATTATCAATAGACTGGGTGATGTCAAATTTGATTATCACAGTTTCTAAAGACTTAATGTTTTTTAAACTTGTAAATCTTCTTTATAGATCATACATATGCACTTCATATATATTGATGTCGAGGGTAATGATCTTCCCATTTTGCTAAGTCTGACCTCTAAATTGCACAACAAAATTCATGAAAAGTGTACAGGTATATCTAAAGCTCATGGCAGACTTACTTTTTTCATTTGCTAATCTGCTAATATGTTAGCCGTTGCTGGTCCATGGTGTATAAATATCTTCATTTGTCAGTACAAATAAATGGTATACAGAGTTTACAATGTTGGTGTAAGAACAAAATAAGAGTACTAGAAATCATCAAAGCTTGAAGCTCAGTATTGATACACACTCTAATATCTACTACAACTTCTACTTGGTCCATATAAGGGCGCCAATTGGTTCTATTTAGTGCTCTGTACAGTGACATAAAATGTGCTCTTGTGCTTCCTTTTTCAGGGAGGTGTTGTTAATCAGCTAAAAGCTGAAATGGAGATGCTACGGGGGGAGATTACTGCAAATCTGGTTTGTCTTGATTTTTCTTCCATTTACTGATTCTATAGGGTGTTTCACAACAGCCAAAGGAAAGATTTATGAAAGCATAATTTAGTTGAAGGTTACAAAACAAAAACATTTAACTTACATGAGAAGCCAATCAGTAGTGTCTATGTGGTGTACAATGTACATGCATTGTATAAGGGACAATTACCTTAGTAGCATAGTAGCATGGAAACTCAGTATTTTACATTGTGTGTCTGATTCTTGCTGCATTAAGCACATACTATATTTGAAAGTTCCCCTATGATTTCATCGAGACCTGACATATCTAGCATGCAATGGTAAATGGAGTGATTTGTCACATATTTATCTTCCCAGCTGTCTCAATATTCAAGCTTGTACATGTGTTATTGTTCTAGCTGAACATTCTTTATTGTGTCTTCTTGTGGGTGTGTAATTTTCATTTCTCTTCCAAACAATGTAAATAGGCTGATCTTGAAGCTGTAAAGGTGGAATATGCCAATGCCCAGCTTGAATGTAGTGCGGCTGATGAACGCTCAAAGCTTTTGGCATCTGAAGTGATCAGTTTGGAAGAGAAGGTCATTTCTCTACTCCAAATTTCAGTGATTTAATTGCACGTCTCTTTTGGCTGTTTGACTGAAAGTTTCAGTAATAATATTGTGGTGCACATTTTAATTATTTGATCTGTATCTCATTGTTATGACACAGTGTCGCTTTTCAGATTGAAACTTTCATTCAAGAGAAAAAAATGTCTAAAATTGTACTCCGTAATTGACATATCCACTTGATCTCTGGCAGAGTAAATTAAATAAATAAATGTTCTGGAAATGTGAACTCCCAGCTTCTTTCAATCTTTTACCACTATTCGCCATTCACCTTTCCTATTTCTTTTTATATTGATATATTTTCTTCAGAACCATGTTATCAATAGCTCTAAGAGAATGTTTTTTAAAAAAAGTTTTCAAGTCACTACGATACTCTTCTGTCAAAACAAGTCATGTCTAAGCAAAGGACAACACTTAAATTTTGACAAGGTGAACTACTATAATAATTGACCACGCTTGTATTTTTAATACTTATTTATTGCTTCAATTAGATTGATCATATTTAACTTGTTCATGACTTTTTTTCTGACAATACATGCAAGATTTTCATCGTGTTATCAGGCATGTTGTTTGGGACAAGTAAATGTTGTAAAACAAGACTGTTTTGAGGAATATAGGATTTGATTTCACTTTTGTCATTTTATTTCCTTTTTTTGTCCTTTTGCCCACAAATTTTCTATTGTTGCCCACAATTTTTTCTAAAATTTTGTCATTGTAATATCTTCTGATATTGCTTTTGCTCAGCGTTATTTTCTTTTTATTCATTTATTTTTTCCTCTTGTCTTTAAGGTATGGATCACATACTTGTATTTGTAACACATTATTGTTTGTTTCACTCTCACACTAGGTGCTTTATTGCTTGTTTAGGCACTTCGGCTGAGATCAAATGAACTTAAATTGGAGAGGGAGTTGGAAAAATCACAAGCTCAATTTTCTTCTTTCAAGTATGGTCAAAGCTCGTCTTGTGCGTATATTTAATAATTTTTCTGTCATTTATCATTTCATTGTTTTTATCTTGATGTTCAGTTTTTCAGTTTCCAATTTTAGAGAGTTCTTCCTCAATGGTTAGATCCCTCTCAAAAAGGCGGCTAGGGGAGGGGTATTTTCTGGATATATCGCTTGCACACAATGTGTGAGGAGTGTTAGCCTAATGCTATTTAGATACTTCCTCCATCCCAAATTACTATTCCCACTTTGACTTCATGGAGATTAAGAAGTGTTGAAAAGTGAAGAGTGAGTGATTAAAATTTATTTACGAGAGAAGAATTTTGGGCCATATATTCTTTTCCATAAAGGAACAGAAAATTTGGGAAAATTATTTTGTGACAGATGAAAAAGAAAGTGGGTAAACATTTGTGGGACGGAGGGAGTAATTTGTAATATAATGGTTGAGGTCTCTATTTTGTCCATAGTAGAATCTTTGGGAGCTTTGGGGGGTGGGGGGTGTTTGCGTGGTGATTTTGCTGTGCCAAAGAGTTCCTAGAGCTGTTAGAGTTTACATGTAATGATGGAAATGCCATGTCTGTATTAGAAAAGTGAAGCGTATGCATTTGGCTTGATTTTTCTTGACTTGGTTATGAATTATGACAAACCTATTAAAATTGTATCATCCTGGTATAATTCACCAACATACACATATCCCAGTATGGGATGATTTTACTGGGTTTGTTGTTATTGTTTGATTATTCACCATTAATTTTGTGACTAATACAATGCATACAAATTACAAATTTAACCAAAGTGTTACTTCTTAAGTAGGTTCTCATCTTGAGTGGTGAATCCTGCCGTGTTTGCAACCCCTTTTCTAGCAGTCCCATCCTTGTAGGCAACTAGTATCCAATATTCCAATATGCATGCTAAGTTAAATAACAATTGAGCATACTGTGGGTGTTAAGAGTTTGGTTTGTTTTCTTTTTTTGTTCATGCAATCTTACTTGAGTTATCCTAACATTTTCCTTTTGGATCATCCAGAAAGAAAATTGATAGCCTTGAAAAAGAACGTCAAGATCTCCATTCAACTGTTGCTGCTTTACAAGAAGGTCAGTTTTTTTACTGTGTGTGCTTCCTTTACAGCGAGCGTTAACTATCTAACAAGATGCTGAGAGAAAAGAAGCTTGCATTGTTTATGAGGGGAAATTAAAGATAGATACTTAAGTAGTTCTATAATCATCCACTAACTAAATCACCTTAGGGTCTGCTAAATATTTGGTATAATTCTTCTACTTACCGAATGAGTAAATACACAATTCAAATCACCTTATTTTTCATTGTCATTTATTGTGTATAAGCTGCAAGGTGGAAACGTCAATACTCCGTATGTAGCAATTAACCAAGTACCAAATTCATGTGTCTGTGCTGGTATTGTATATTTCATCCTTGCTAAGTAGTAACTAGTAAGAATATTGTTGTCCCTAAGCTCTTGTGGATTCCACCCATTGTCAAGAATATTACTCCCTCCGTCCACAAATAAAGTTCTCATTGCGCGTTACGATGTTTGACTGAAATTTTTTTCAAATCATTTTATATGAAAAATGGTATGGAATTAAAAAATAAAAATTACATATTTAAAAACTACATGAAAAGATCTACAAAACTAGAGGTGACATGACTATATTATTTATCATATAAGACACCAAAATAGGCCAACTAAGTGAATAAAGTTTGACCCTGTGAATACTGAACGGGAACTTTATTGTTGGACGGAGGGAGTATATAACAATTTGAGGTAAAATTTAAGTATTTAACCTTGTGGAATATGGAGAAAGCCTCAAGTGTTTGATGTCTCTCTTTATGTGGGGTGATATGGTTAAGGTCCAATACCTCTTATTGGATTAATTTTACTGCTTAACCGTCTTATTAATCGATTACTGCCCCATCTCTCAAATCTCAAAATGTATGAGAGTAATTGGTATTGGGAGGGTGTCATTCATAAATATATATTATGGCTTCTGGCCTTATGAGAATGCCTCTGGGGCCTGGCCTTTTGTTGTAAGAAATGAAAATGTATATTTGTATATTGTGCTTTCTGTGTGGTATTGAGATTAAAGTAGTGAGGACAATCTGAGAACTATGCAACTCCTTTCTCCCTTGCGTTCACAAAAATAAGAGGAAAGCATGAACAAAAATACTACGTATGAATGGAAGAAATTCTGGAGGAAAATAAATGTTGCATTCCTGAAAATCATGGGGAAAGCACAAACAAAAATATGAACAGAAGAAATTCTAGTGGGAACTAAATGTTTGACTCAAACTCAATAAATTAATTTAGACATGTATTAAAATCATTTTATTTAATTAAGTTTTTCTATTATAGCATAAATAGTTAAATATTAATCATTTTTTCCTTTCCTTTGCATTTTCCAAGAATAAAACCAAGCATAAGAAAATAGCTTCCACTAATACTGTTTTTCCTTTCCCCAACATTTTCCATTATCCAAATGTACTCCTAAATCATGTATCTCAAAATCTCTTGTGCAGAAAAGAAGCTGTTGCTGTCAAAACTACGTAAAGCATCCGGCAGTGGCAAATTAGGCGAAACTACCAGGCATTCACCCAATAAAGTAGATGTGTCAACGTCTACACAGGATCTTGGTATGTAGTAATAAATCCCCATGTGCATTGAAATGCTACACACGGTCAACAATTCAATAAGTTTCCCATAGTATCTAATATTTTGATTACTGAATTTAGATGACAGTGATGGCATGACTACCGCCTCAGATGATCTAAACCCAGGAGGCCGGAGCACTGCTTTAAGTGCTGAATCCTCCAGTTTTCCTTTTCCGCTTGATGATGGACAGCTCAGTTTTGAAGGTTCAGCGGTGTTCATTCCTCCTGATCATATAAGAATGATCCAAAATATTAATACATTAATCTCCGAGGTTCATTCCTATCATTTATATCCTTGCCCGGCTTTTGTTAAGGGTGGTTTTTAATTCCAAAAGTGCTATTTAAGTTTTATCAGCAGTTTCCAATCGATGATCTAAAGTAGGAATTACCATTTTTCATGGATTGTTACAGTTAACTTTGGAGAAACTAGAGCTAACGAAAGCCTTCTCTGCTGAAACATCCGAATGCTCTAAACTTAAGGTTTTTCTGAATTAGCAGCCCCCTTCAGATGTTTTTGTACCTTAGTTCTTAGAAGTAAGAACTAAGAACAAATCTTGTTCATGATTTTTAAATTTTTTTTTTTGTTGCTCCTGCATACAGGAGTTAAACAAGGAGCTAACCAGGAAGCTTGAATCTCAAACACAAAAGTTGGAGCTTTTAACTGCTCAAAGCATGGCCACTGGTAATGTTCCAGTAAGACAACCAGAAAGAACTATCCATGAGAACCCCACGACTTATGCAGATGAAGGCGATGAGGTAGTACATTATTTTTTTCTTTTTCTACTTTCTAAACTATCAATCAGTTGAGGTTACGCAGCCCATACCCCTTACCTAGAAAATGTAGAGAGGCTAAATGACTACAGAGTATTAATAACTTAAGAGGGAGATGTTGGCGTGGCAGTTTCATTAATATCAACAAAAAGTAGCTATTGCACCACTTTTGTTTTTTAAATGACCAGCTGATTTAACGAACATAGCGTGTGGCGAAAACCTGGATTATAAGCCCTCCGAAAAAAAGAAGTTAACACTAATTCCAAAAAACAATGTCAAACTGCTATACCAGATGCCCTTTATGTCAAAACCTTGTCACAGAGGAAGAATGATATGTTATTAAAAAACTGATATGATTGAAATTTTCTCAATTTTGTGTGAAATAAACCTTAAATCAGGTGGTTGAGAGGGTATTAGGATGGATCATGAAGCTGTTTCCTGGAGGGCCATCGAGACGACGAAGCAGCAAGCTTCTGTAGTAGTTGTCATGAAAGACAGATTCACCGAAGCTCCTCCGCAATATCTCAAGCCTTGTAATTTTTGATAGCCACAAGTTTGTAATTTATCGGCGATCCATACAGACGATTCTTTTTCTCCTATAAGTAATTCTTTCAGAAGTCACAATGGAAGACGAGAGTGGCAAATGTGACAAGAAAAAACGTCACCAGTTATGCATTTGATGAGGAGCTATGAAGTTGTGCCAATGCAAAGATGTACTATAGACAGCAATGTATACACATATTGAATCAAGTGAAAGAAATCCATTCATGTTTTCATTTGCAGAGTAATAATCTGCCTTTGTTGTGTTCCAGTTACTTGGATAGGTAATACTCTCCCCCCTCCAAAGAAAGGACACAGTTCAGTTCATAATAATTGTTTGAATTTATACTAAATTTAATCTTGAAATAAGAAATACAATTTATGTATATAAGAATTACATAAAAAGTTTCACTCTTTGGTCAAATTATTGATTAATATATCTAAAGAAAAAAGGTGTAATTTGATTATGGAATATTAGTTATGAGTATCTTTTATTTTGGGACGCAAGGATTGTAAATATTGGAAGGATAACACCTTGTGAACTAGTGATGCATCGGCGCATAATAATTATATTTATGGTCTATTTCATTTCTACCTTATTCAGTAAAATATGGAGTAATTTTTTAAAATTAAAACATTTAAACAACACAAATTTGTGGGGACGAAGGTAGCAACTAAATTAAGGGCCAATGTGTACACTATGGGTATACTCCTTCCATCTCAAAAGAAAATACACAAGGACTTTGCTAGTGTTATCCCATGAAACATATTCGATTTTGTACACTAGTGTTGCACCGGCAAATCACTGGTATACACTAGCACAGAATACTAGTGCAAAACAGTATCAATCCTACTAGTGTACAAAATGAGATATGATTCATGGGGTAACACTAGCATTGTTCAAATCCATAAACATTACTTTGTATTTCAAAGGTCAGCTTTTTTTTTTCTTCTTTATTTATGTTTCTTAATCATTCATTAAAATGATATAGTTACCACACACACACACATACAATTTAAAAATTTTACATCAATATTTAAATAAATTGAATTAAAAATAAATTTGGACAAATGAATTTAGGATCCGTTTGGCAACAACGTTAAATTTTAGTGTTAACGTTTTAAAAAGACTATATAACGGAAATCTTTGGTGTTAGCATTTTCAAAATTAATACATCCATATATCATTAAAATTTTATCTAAAATTTTAGCACTTTAAAAAAACTTTGTTCCAAACAAAGGCTTAGAGCTTGTTCTCTACAACTTATTGTTTTTACTTATTAATATTCTTATTTAAATCAGATTAGAAACAACTTTAAATATAACTATTATCAGATCAAAACTTAACCGAATGATCAGAACCAATCAGATAAGTTGAAGAGAACAAACTTTTAATTTTGGTGGGGGGTAATAAAGTGTGTATGTTTCAAGCAAATTAGTTTTTGATACAAAATTGTTAGAAATCCATCACGAGTGTCTTCACAATAACAACCACATACTCCCACCGTCTCATTTATATTGTATGTTTTGAATTTGAGGCATATTTAAAGAAGGGAAAAAATAATGTTGATTTTCCAAAAATGTCCTTAGTTTTTTAGGGGGGTGATGATGAATGAGAAGATAAGGTGGATAAAAGTGACTTATTTTAAGGGTAGTTTAGGTGTTTTGTCTTTAAAGGTTTACTATAATAAGAAACATGCAACTTATTTTAGAACGGATAAAAAAGGAAAACAAACCATTTAAAATGGGACGAAAGGAGTATGATTTAGTGTATGAGAAATGTTAGGGGCACATCATTGTACCCCAAAATTACACCATCTATTTCGTAACCATAAATTTTTATTTATTTTTCCTCTTTTTTACATGTATAAGTGTGTGATATTGAAACACTTGAGGTACATAGACTATTATTATTAGGGGCTGTTTGACAACTTCTGAATAGGTAAGTGCTGAACCAGTAAGAGGTCTGAACCATTAAGTGCTGAATCAGTAAGAGGTCTGAACCATTAAGAGTTAGTATATTGCTTAACTATTTAGAGGCAAATGTCTGATCAATTCAGATAAGAGGTCTTAACCATTCAGACTCTGTATAATACTTAACCATTCAGAGGCAAATCTCTTAACCATTCAGACATCTGAACCATTAAGAGGCTGAAACAAACAGTCTGAACCATTAAGTGCTGAACCATTCAGACATCTGAACCATTAAGAGACTGAAACAAACAGCCCCTTAGTGTATATATAAAATGACTATGTGATTGTCATTCAATAGTTCTCATTTTCTAGATTCTTTTTTTATAAGGGGGCATGTGTCAACTGGATTAAGCCCCAACATTTATACCTTAATTTGTGGCTCGCGGGTTTGCACTAACATTTTGTGTTGGTGTAAAACTAATTTTTGTCAATGCACCAATTATTTGTGTTCGTGTAAATTTTTGTTAAGGCTTGTGTGGGTGTAAAGCAAAACTGGCATTGTCCGTGTCAACTGAACACCTCCATTTTGGAAAGACGGCTATAGCAGCATTGCTAGCTTCTTTTTGGCACAGTGAACACCAAATTGGCAGCTGATAGGGATGGCCCTTTTCACTGTAAAGCTCTCTCCTTTGCCTTTCACCTTCCATGGTGTCTCTGCTTCTAAAGGTTCCTCTTTCTAATACACTTCTTGATTCATGCGTGTCCTTGCACTCTTGAAAACAACACATACTTTGGCTCTCGTTCTTTTGATTTCACAGAAGCAAACTCCTCCAGCTCAAAGCCATTGAAGCCCAGAGAAGATTGGAGGCACAGATCCAGACCCATTCCTCCTGGTGGGATCTACCCAGCTAAGGACCATTGCAGGTTCTTCCTTTCCTCATCTCCTCTCTCTCTCTCTTTCCCTTTTCAATTATCCTTTTTTTGTGTGAATTTCAATTTTTATGGGTTTTGAATGATTTGATACATTTCAATCTTTGCCTAATTTGGATTTGTACAATTTGAAATCTTGATTGGCAGCCATTGCGGGTTGTGTGATACTTACTACATAGCTCATGTAAAAAGTGCATGTGCTTTCTTGGGGAATGGCATGTCCAGAATTGAGGTGACTTTCTCTTTGATTTATTGCGACTCTATCTGGTTTAATTATTTGGTTAATTATGGTTCACAGTTCACACATTAAGGAATATGTGTACAAATACATGGTGCATATTTAAGCTATGTTCTTTTGGGTTGGAAACACATTATTGGATGTTGGGAGAAACTCGAAGGAATTGAAAAATGTTAAAAGTTAAACTCCAAAATAACAGTGCCTTAGTGGGTAGATGTATGTGCCAATTGACCACTTGGGCTGAATGAGGGAGAATGGGAGAGAAGGAGAAGAGATGGTTCCCTATATGTTTTTTTCCCATGCATATATGATTATGAAAGCTAAAATCACCAGCTTCCGGAAATGATTAGATCATCATCAGTTCATCATTATCAGCACCTTAATCCCAAGCAGTTGGGATCTGATGGAGGAAATGCTCATAGACTGTTTACAAAAAGGGCCTGTTTTGCAGCCATGGGCCGCCTTATAATTTAATTTTTTAGCTAATTGTTGTGCTGAATTTGATAAAATAGCTTAATTGTGTTATTATGGAGCATATAATACGAATTACCTATAGTGATTATTTTCAACAACAATAACAACCTTATAAGGATAATTTAATATAAATCAAACAGAATGATGTTGAAAGGTGAAGCGCAGCAGTGTCTTATATCTTGATTTAAGTTGCTTCAATAAAAAAATTAACTCATGGAATGCAATTTATTTTTTTTCATTAGAAAATTCAGCCAAAACAGCATTAGTGTTCAACCAAGGAGTGTTTGGTGGACAAAAAGACTAATGAGGGTGAATACCCATGAAATGTGTCCACTAAACAAACACCTTATCTCTAGACAAACAACCTAGCTTTATAAGGGAAACAACTCACCTGGTGCGCCAATGTGCTTCTTTACATAATGTGGGTAATGTAGGTGAGTATATTTGTAGCTTTATCATACTTGTATATTAAGGGGAATGTGCTTCTGTAATGTGGGTGAATTCATTTTTCCCATGCCGTGCACATGTTAGCCTGTCTTATTCCCCTGTTTGTTATATGAAATACAAGGTAGACCCTATTATTCAATCTGCTCCACTTTCAGGCTTTGGAGCCTATGGTACATGGCCGGGGAAGGAAAGTTGATTCACTGGATGAAACTTATATGGGTGTGCACGAGAAGTTACTTTATGCTCGTAAAACTAAGTCGTTAGAAGGTGAAGTTGTCAATGTGATGGCTCATTAAGCGGTGTACCTCATAATGCAAATCTGCTAGTTATTAGCATTCTAATGTAATAACATTTTTAAGATTTTTTTTTGTTGAAATATCTATTCTCATTTTTTGTCTTTTCTTTTGTGTGTGTAATGCAGGAGCCCAATGGACAGGCATCGTGACAACAATTGCAATGGAGATGCTGAAAGCTGATATAGTAGATGCTGTTGTTTGTGTCCAGAGGTATTCTTTATTCTACTTCAACTGTCCAGGTTACTATATGTCTTCATTCATTGTGGAATGTCTTTCTTATTCATTCTATGTGATCTTCATATAGTTCTATTAATTTGTCTCAGTGATCCAGAAGATAGATTTGTTCCCCGTCCCATCTTAGCAAGGTGAAAAAGATATGAGATGCTTATGATTTTGGCCTTCAATACATAGTTAATGAGTATTATATATTCCATTTATCCAAATCATCAACGTTGGTTGATGCCTTGAATAGGACACCAGAGGAAGTACTAGCAGCTAAAGGAGTCAAGCCAACACTCTCTCCTAATTTGAACACTCTTGCTTTAGTTGAGGTGTCTCATGTCGTTTGCTTTAGTACACTGTTGTTTGTTTGTTTTGTTAATTTTTGCATACACATGATTTGTTGCAGCTTGATAGATTAGAGTTATAGGCAGGCTTATTTAGGGGTGGTTCTATGTGTGTTTTTGCGTGCATCTACCCATAGACCCCATCTGTGGGATTTTTTAGGGTTGTTACAATTCTTGATGTTTGGTAGATTAGGCCAATGAAGCATGATGTCATTGAGTCCTTGGTTCAATTTCATTCTTGGTCTTCTTTTGCACAATGTTTAGGTATTTAGTTTTTATTTTCCCAGTTAGATGGATTGCTTTGTTTAAATTTTCTTATACTAGTGCTCCATAATATTTATTCATACTGCATATCATTGTCTTCCCGTTATGGTCATGTTCCATGATTTGCATGTTTGTCTTGCGAGATAAATCATGTAATGAACATGACAAAAGAAAATATCTCAACTCATCGTCGTCTCGTGATATTTTCCGTGCACATGGAAATAGCCTATGATGATGATGGTGATTTTTGTCATGTTCGCAGGCAGCTGGTGTGAAGAGACTTCTGTTCTGTGGTGTCGGATGCCAAGTGCAAGGTTTGATTGCAACAGTGCTCTGCATTTTCTGCTTTTGTTTCTCTTTTTTCTTTTTCAAGACTCGTTATCGCACTTCAGTGTAATTTCGTGGCCTGCAGCTTTAAGATCAGTTGAGCACTATTTGGGTTTGGAAAAACTTTATGTTTTAGGCACCAACTGTGGTAAGTACTCCTTAATTTGGAATCAATTACTACGTATACACTACAAGTTCATCACCACTTCCCATTCTGCTTTTATAGTTCTCTCAAATATGTCAACAAAATTAAAGTTTTTGGCATTGTGTAAACGCTACACAGAGCACTACAGTCTGTTGTGTTGCACTTAAGTCTATTTCCTTTATTAGGTTTTCGTGTTAATAACCTATGAGCAAGATTAAAGAAGGAAAGTTGCATTTGTCTCCGAACTTTTGTTCGTTAATATCGGTAGTAATGATGGAGGTAGTCTTTTGTGTCTGTTTCTTGAAATACTATAGCACCCAAGAGTTAAATTGAGCCAATATTTTCTTGACAGTGGATAATGGAACACGAGAAGGATTAGATAAGTTCTTAAAGGCTGCTAGTGATGAACCAGATACTGTGCTTCATTATGAGTTTATGCAAGACTACAAGGTATCAAATTAGTTTTTTTCGAGGAACTTTAAATTTTTATATGAAAATGTTTCATGTAAAAATGCCCAAAATTGGGGTGGGCCAGAGCCCGTATCCCACCCCCCTTCCCCCACCTCACCCCAATCTGGTAATGAACGATTTTATGCGTAGTGTTAGAATACAGTTTATACTATTATGAACTCTAAATACAATATTTTGACAGGTCCACCTGAAACATTTGGATGGGCGCATTGAAGAGGTGTTATAGTTCAAATATTAGTAAATGGCTTGCCCCAACGCTTCTTTATTTAACTCTATACATTTGCTAAAACAGGTTCCCTACTTCTCTTTACCAGCAAATGAGTTAGTTGATGTCATTGCACCATCGTGTTTCAGGTAAATTCCTCGCTAATATTCTCCAACTTATTTATGGTGTATACAAGTTCCTGACTTTTGACTTCCAAAAGTTCATGAAATATCAGTGAAAAATTTGTGGCGGTTGACAATTTATTTATTTGAATCATTTACTAAACAAGAACTGCACAGTGAACTATGTTTTTTCTTCTGTTCTCTCTCTGCATTGTAGCTGTTTTGACTACACAAATGCATTAGCGGTGAGTTTTCTCTACCAAAAAAATTTGCAAATCTTTTAATGTGAAATAAAGAGTAAAACATTCTCTTTTACATAGAAATGCAAGCACTGTCGTTGTTAACCTTTCCAGGATTTGGTAGTGGGGTATATGGGTGTGCCAAAATATGCTGGAATTAGCATGACAAAACACCCCCAGTACATTACCATCAGGTAAAACTGTAAAAATGATTCCGATTATACTTCTTTTTTCCCTTTCTGTAATAACTAAAGTCAAAGGGATTTTTACAAGATATTTACTGCAACCTTATCCCATGCAAACACAGAAATGAACGCGGAAGAGAAATGCTCAGCCTTGTGGAGCATCTCTTGGAAGTCTCACATACAATCAGCACTGTAATGCATATGCCCATTCATCTTGTGAAGTTGCCATAATGATTTCTTGTAACAAAAAAAACTTGTTATTGCCAGGGTGAGAGGAGGCCATTTGTTATGGAAACTGTGAAGGCTGATGACAATGCTAAGTTGGGTATGTTTTCTTCTGTTGCTACACCTATGGAAGTTCCATTGTGTTTGGTACAAGAATTCATTTTTCTTTGTAAAGATTTTCGTGTTTTACACTTGAAAATATATTTGCTTGAAGGAAAACATTCCATCAAAGAGAAGCCTTAGCTCATCGTCTTTTCTTCTTCTTCTTCTTCTTCTTCAAATTGAGTGTTTACTAATATCTCTATTAACAATAGTCTCTATCAACTCTCTATGAGTTCTTATACATTTGCTCCTAAGTCCTAAGAGATCTGTTTCTGGTTTAATCTCTGATAGTGCTCGAATACATGACTAATTCACAAACTTGTCCAGGAAGAGGTCCTTCGAAGCCTGCCCCAAAGTTTATAGGCAACCTAATAGCATTTATTTTGAACCTTGTAAGGACTTTCTTTCTTTTTTTTAAATCTTTTTTTTGTACACAGCAACAACAGCTGGTCATGCCCATAACTCAGGTTCAATTCTTGTGTACCAAAAAAACAGTTCAATTCCTGTAACAATTTTCTCATTTGGCTTCTTCAGGTGGGTCCAAAGGGTCTGGAATTCGCGTGGTATTCAATAGATTACCACACGATACGCAATTATCTGCACATCGCCCGCACATGGGGACACGAAAGGTACGAAAAAAAGTCACTGTGGATATAAATAAATGAATCCTCAGTTGAAAGGGTTCACCTTTGAATTGAAGCCATCCATCTAGTCTTATTTATATATATATGCAGAGCTGGATTGCACATGCCATCATATGCAAAGAAAATAGTTTCCATGTATAACCGGAATGGTGAAATTGACCGGATGCTTGAGAAGTGATGACGACGACAACGATGATGATGATGATGTACACCTGAGGGAGAAGCCACCGCCCATTGTGTGCGCATTTCAGTGCCAGCGCTCTTGTCTGTGTGTGTCTATGACGCTTTGTATGTATGTATGTATTCATATATGTAAGTATAACAAAGTGACACTTCTGAGCAAAATCAGCAATGCACCATTTTTTGTATGCAAACTCCATCTCAATCACTGTAATAAATGACAAACGAATTTTATCATAGCTTAATAAATTGTGACAAGTTTTGTATTAGGCTGTAAAAGGAAGTTGAGGATTGAAGAAGAGGGAGGGACATTTCGAAAAGGGGAAATTAAGGATAATTCTAAAGAGGTTTAGACGAGACAAAAAATATTCAAATGTTATGGTGAACCCGAAGTCTATAATCCCTATTATTCTAGGTAGACTTTTTTTGAAACAAATACATAATATTAAAACAGTATAACATATTTTTAAAAGGAAAAAATAAAAAAAGAAGACCTGATGGAGAAAATTAATGTAAAAAGAAAAGAAATGATAAAAAGTGAAAATGAAAAAATAATAATAAATAAAGAGTTAAAAAAGGATCAAAAGAAAAAAAGGAAAAGAAAAGATGAAAAGAATGAGTAATTTACCTAAATAGGACTAAAACATAATGACTTTCTCAATAGAGGACCATATGTTTTTATTTCCCAAAGTAGGACCTTTGGTCATTATTAATTAGTCATTATTCAAGTAAATGTCCATCATTACTGGGCGTTATTCCTCCCACTAAGTCATTATTAAGTCCTATTTATGGAATAAAAAAGTTTAAGTCCTAGATTAGGAAAGTCATTATGTTTTTGTCCTATTTAGAGCAAATTTTACTAGCGAATAAGATAAAAGAGAAGAAAGAAAAAACAAAAAATAAAAGAAAAGATGGGAGAAAGAATGGAGAGAAAGAAAGGGGAGTTGGTTGAAAAAAAAGAAAAAATGGAGGTCAATTTCAAAAAATAAAAATTTGAATTTTGGAATTTGGCCTAAAGTGACCTGCTAGTCACCTCCTAATGGCTGGACTTTTAGTGAAAAGATATTAAAAGTTTAGTTACTTTTGGGAAAGGTTTTGAATTCAGGTACCAAATCGAAATTTCTGTGGAAGTTCAGGTACTATTCTTGAAAAATATCCCAAAATTTGACACCAAATCCATATTTGTGAAACTTGTGTCTAGGATGTAAACAAATCAAATATTTTAAATTCGATTCGTCATTCGTATTCGAATATAATGATTCGAATTCGCATTATTCAAATATTATTTTTGATTCGAATATTAAACAAATACAAATGAGATATATTCGATTCGGATGATATTCATATATTCGAATACACACAGATCATACTTTCAACATCAATAGTCAAACAAACTAATATAATATAAAGTGTAATTAAATTACTAAGAATTTGACAAATTAGCATAACAATTGATGAAAATTTAAAGCATGTAATTTTTAATAGTTATATTTTATAAAATATAATTTGTGTAAGATGCAAATGTATTAACGTTTTTTAGATACGGAGTATAGTATAATATAAGGAGTATCGTAAGTTAAATTACAAATCGATGTTGATCCATCATATAAATTACAGAGTATGTTCATTCAAATATTCGTTTAGAATTCATTAACTATTCGAATATTAATCAAATACATATTCAAATCTTATGTTGAATTCGTCTCATATTTGGATTCGTATTCAAAAAAATTAAACAAACAAATTCAAATATTTTACTATTTTAGCTTTGTTTCGATTCGTTTACCCCTGCTTGTGTCCTTGGGGTTTAAGGTTTTTTTTTTCTTTTTGAAAAGAAGGGTTTTAAATGTCGAATATGAAGAGCTTATTCTCGGACCACCATCCCTGGCGCTGCAATTCTCCACTGAGGGTAGTACGCCGCCGCATCGTCAATACATTTACACTATGCAGTTCCAGAGGGTAGCTTTCTGGTGAGAGCAAAACGACCAGAAGAATGCCGGGTGTCGGAGCCATCGGGCTGACGCATTTCTCAGGAATTTCCTTAAGAGGATTAATAGGGTATGAAACTCCATTCTTCTACTCGAATTTGGACTTAGTGCAGCACTGAATTTCTGCTTCAGTTATCACCATGAGAAAAACCCTTCACACCATCGCTGCAATCGTCAAACAAAGCAATGGAAAATCCAAGCTTCCTGCTCTCCTCTCTGCAGATTTCTCAAAGCCCTACCCGATTTTACATTCCACTTTGGTCCCAAAATGTCAATTTACTACCACAAGACTCCCTCCTCCTGAGTGGGTGCATCCTTTCACAGACCTCTCCGAAGTTATCACCGACCACAAAAGTCTCCAGCCTTCTCCATGGGTGTCCCAAATTTTGAGTCTTTTAGACAATTCGCCTCAAATGGAGGAAAACTTGACAGCTTATTGCAAAGAATTTCTTATCAAGTTATCACCCAATTTTGTTGCATTCGTGTTGAACTCAGACCGGCTTTCTGAAAATTCTGTTACTGCTTATCGGTTCTTCGCTTGGGCAGGCAGGCAAAGAGGGTATGCCCATAATCTTGATGGCTACGTGTCTTTGATAGCGATTTTATCTGCTTGTAATGATGTAAATAAAGTTAGGGATGTTTTTAGGGACTTCAAAGATTGTAAATTTACGTTGAACTTGTTGGTGGCTAATTCTTTGGTTAGGAGTCTTGGAAGTGTGGGTATGGTTGAGGAGTTGTTGTGTGTGTGGAGAGGTATGAAAGAGAGTGGGATTGAACCTACATTGTATACTTATAATTTTCTGATGAATGGTTTAGTTAATGCTATGTTTATTGAATCTGCTGAGCAAGTGTTCGAAGTCATGGAAAGTGGGAAAATTCAACCAGATATTGTTACGTATAATACAATGATCAAAGGATATTACAAGACTGGGAAGGCACAGAAAGCGATGCAGAAGTTAAGAGACATGGAGGCTAGAAATGTGGTACCTGATAAGATTACTTATACGACCCTCATCCAGGCATGCTATACAGAAGCTGATTTCACCTCCTGTCTAGCGCTTTATCATGAAATGGTTGAAAAAGAGTTGGATATTCCATCACATGCTTATAGTTTAGTTATAAGAGGGCTTTGTAGAGATGGAAAGCCTTTGCAAGCAAATGTCATTTTGGAAGGCATGGTTAGGAAAGGTTGCAGAACTAATGCTGTGATCTATACAGCCTTGATTGATGCGTACATGAAATATTCAAACTTAGACGCAGCAATGAGGCTCTTTGACAGAATGAAGGACGAAGGAGTTGAACCCGATGAATTAACATATGGTGTTATTGTAACGGGTTTGTCTAAATGTGGTAGATTGGAAGAGGCCTTACAGTGGCTTGAGTACTGTCAAAATAATAATAAATCTATCAATGCCATGCTCTATTCAAGTGTAATTGATGGTCTTGGGAAAGCAGGGAGAGTAGATGAGGCTAAAAGGCTCTTTGTGGAGATGGCTAAAAAGGGATGTCCTCGTGATTCTTACTGCTATAATGCACTGATAGATGCCTTAGCTAAAAGTGGAAAAATTGATGAATCTTTAATGCTTTTCAACAGAATGGAACAAGAAGGCTGCAATCAAACTGTGTATACATACACAATGCTTATTAGCGGGTTGTTTAAAGTCCACCGGAACGAAGATGCATTGAAACTGTGGAATATGATGATTGACAAGGGCATCACTCCAACAGCTGCTTCATTTAGAGCTCTTTCCACTGGGCTTTGTCTTTCAGGCAAGGTTGCAAGGGCTTGTAAGATTTTGGATCAACTGGCACCGATGGGTATTGTTTTAGATACTGCATTTGAACACATGATCAATGTTTTGTGCAAAGCAGGCCGTATTGTAGAGGCTTGCAAGTTAGCTGATGGAATCGTTGACCGTGGTCGGGAAATTCCAGGCAGAGTTCGTACGGTTTTGCTAACTGCCTTAAGGAAAGCAGGGAATGCAGAATTAGCTATAAAACTGATGCATAGTAAAATTGGCATTGGATATGATAGGGTGGGTAGCATTAAAAAACGTGTGAAGTTTCGCGTTTTGGTAGACAAGTGAGTTTTTTTGGGGTTTGGTATTGCATCTACGCGGATAAGATCTTTTCTAATCCATGCTTTTCATGGAACAACATTGTTCACTTGACAATGTTGCAGTGAGCTGAGCATAGATAGATGTAATGGAAGGTTTAAAACAACTTCCCAACTCAAAAGCTTGTGAATTCATAGGTATGTGCCTGGTTTTTCGTCCTTAGATTATTACGTTGAAATATGATAATCTACAAATTCTTGGAATCAACAACTGTTTTACTCCCTCTGTCAGCAAGAAAGAGTCACATTTGGCCAATGTACAACATTTTATATATTGGGCTAAAACCACCATCATGTTCCCAAATGCACTCCACATGTTCTTTCTTGCATTTTACTCCATACCAAATTCATCTTCTCACGTGAGAAAAGAGCCTTAAAAAAATGAAATTGTATAACTGAAATTTATACAGACAAGATGGCTTTAATTGGATCATTTTGAGACGCCCAAAAAATGAATGTGAAATTTTCATTTTTTGATGGGGGGTAATTTAAAGGTGATACCTTTTAAGTGTGAAATGGTGGATGCATTTACTTAAACTCTTTCTCTCCTTTTCTACTTTATGTTTTCTAATGTCCTAGCTAGTTGTGTGTGTTTCTATTTAGAAATATGTTCAAGCAGACACCAATTTCAAGCTTGCCAAATAGAGTATTGAATTGTGTCAATCTATATAGGATGTTAGGGTGCTTGAATTATACGGAGTATTTTGCACACATCTATCATATACCGCAATGCGTCAAGTAAAAAAGAAACAGAGAATAGATACTAGGGTTTCTTGCCAACAGAGACTAGGGTTCTATCTAATGTATCTCTTCCAAACATTGCATACTATATTTATGTTGTGCGGGGACCGGAATTAGAAACAAGTTTTTCAATACAATACAAAAGAGTTGGCTTTTGAAAAACTCTCAAGTCTCAAGCATCCAAACATGACAGACACTTACATTAATAATGCTAAATTCAAAGTGCTAGTACACCATGTCACCTTCACACTTTTTTTCATAGGAAGACAAGATATTTTGTTCATACATATATGATTTGTTTGTGCGTATGAAATTTTTTCACAAACATCTCAAGGATGATATGACATGGTCTACATAATATATATGGTTTACAACAATTACGACTTAATAATTTTCTATCCAAAAAAGAAGTTATAACTTATAAGTAGTAAATTATTAAAGCACTTTGATATCACATCACACAATACCACAAATAAATAAAGCTAAATTAGATTATAAGGAGTAATATACACATGCCAGTGTATTATAAGATAAATAAAATAAGCCTCAAATAATATATTACAGAGTATATGGTATTGGAATTGACTGCCTTTTCACCCCAGTACAAATAAATGTTGCCATGAATGGCTGCAAGCCTACATCTTTACAAATTTCTCTATAACTTTGAGATGGATGCATATGTCATGTTTTCTTCTCTCTCTGTTTTTTTGGTAGCACAAAACCACAGTTTTCTAAAAATGCTATATACAATTATGCATGGACGGTGCCATGGATGAATATATGGATGCAGAAACATCATCCTTTTTTACCATTGATCGTTACGTTACAAGTGTGAACAATGTTAGTATAATATGTACTCTCCGTCCCAATATTAAAGTATCAATCTGACTCAACACATTTTAAGGCAAAAAGGTAAAAAATATGTTGGCATTCCCATTTTACCCGTAAGTAAAAAAACTTGAAAGGGTGGGAAAAATGGGGAATATCTAGGTAGGAAAAGGTGAGTTGAAAAGTAGGGGTATTATAGTATTTTAATATGTTAGGTGTGCCAAAAATGGAATGGAGACTTTAATTTTGAGATACCAAATTAGGAAAGGGAGACTTTAATATTGGGACGGATGGAGTATATGCTTGGAAGCCACTGCCTTAATTATTCGCGTAAAAATTCAAAGGCGGGATTCTCAAGGAGTTCCTCAGCAGGTTTTACCCCAATGAAATCAATATCCTTGAGGGAGATGTTAAGGCCATCTGCTGAGAAAGGGATGCTGCATGCACCAGAAAAGGCAAATGGCAGACCCTATGAGTAATAATAGGAAACAGAAAAAGTTTACTTTCATAATATATGCTATTTTTACCTCAAATTCTCATCCAAGGCATACGAATAATTACTGTCGGCGTCTTCTGAATCCTCTGATGATGCTAGTACCTTAATGTTTGAAATTACCTACACAATGCAGGCAAGGCCTTTCAATGATGGTCACTAAAGCCAAGCCTTAACAACCCCAAGCCACTAGAATTGGCTACATAAACCAATATGGAGGGAATAATATATACGGAGCATTAAAAAAGGAGTAATTAAAAAAAAGGAGAAATTAACTCACATCTGAGGACACAGTTTTAGTATTGTTCTCATCCGAACATATGGTACATATTCTATAAAGCTGTTGGCTACTCAAAACCTGGAAAAAATGAGATACCAATGAAAACACTGCTTTTAGAATTGAAAAAATGGCACTCCTATTGAAGCAAAAATTCACATCCACAACAAACACCATATATGTCCTACACATGCGACCCGCACCCATAACTGGAAGGGTAATTACTTGCTACACTTAAAATTAGCACTTTAGCACAAATTTATGATAGATGTGAGGTACCCAAACCCCAAAACAACAACAACCCAGTTAAATCCCACAAAAGTAGGGTCTAGGGAGGGTGTGTATACGCATTTACTCTGTATAAAACAATGAAGAACAAAAGAAGGGAATGAGCATTTATAAAAGATCTTACAGGGCACAAGTCAGTTGTTAGGTCATCATAGGAAACTTTCTCTTTATCCTGGAGAACCTGCCAATAACATTGTATATCACTTTAAGCCAGACCAAGACCAATAAGAATGTTGTATCACTGTTGTTGTCTTAAAGTTTAAGGTTACAAATTACTCTATTCACTTAGTTTGAAAGGAATTACACATTTAGTCTTGAATAACACTCCCTCCATCCAAAAAATAAGTCATATTTAAAGAAAAAAAGAGAACCACATTTTATAAAACAAACGGAGAAGTTTCTAATTTATCGTGTAGTTTCTAAAATAAAGTTACAAACAAGTTCAATATGATAAATTCAGTTAAACCAAAAATTAAAATTTGAAAATGTAAGTAGGATCCCATCACTTATCTTAAGAGTTACACCTTGCCAAAAATTTAGTGATATACCTTAAAAAAATATCTCTTTTATGTAAACAATTTACATAAAAGAAACTACTTTTATGGAAAGATAAACTATACATACCAAGAATCCTACAGCCTGCCTTACATGCTTTAACTCATCCCAAGAGGAGCCCACATACTGCAACAAAGAGGAGTCAATACTACTTTTTAAAGTTAAGATATCGTTACAATGTAAGCACGTCAAATATGCGCTTATGCATTCAAATTAAAGGACCTCTTTTGTTGCCTGCCCACACCAATGTTCTAATTCAGCTAACCCGCTTTTTACATATTTCCCATTGTTGAAAGTACAACAGCCTTCTTTGCAAAGGAGGCTGCGGCAATAAATTAAAATTAAATGTTAGGAAAACAAGTGAAACTACTGGTATATGCCGTATAACTATTCCTATGTAGAATGAGAAATGAAAGATATGGAGATTACTTGTTAAATAACTGTACATTCATATGAGAGAAGATTTGGGCAAAAATGTTTTGGATAAGAAATGGAAACACCTGATACAAATATATAATTATACCATTAGCATAATATATTTGAATAAATTTGCATCAAGGGAACATGGAGTAGGATATATCTCATACATAATTTCCTCTCAGTGCAGTGAGAAGTCCATTAAGGCTCCCAATGATGCTTTGCCATGGACTTATTGTTGAGTTTTCATTTTCTATTTGAGGAACCTAAGATATGATGAGTAGAAATATCAGATAATTGAAAATAGTTAACTAGATAAAGAATTCATGCACAGAATGCAGAAAGAGACATTGGTCATATAAAGACCATATGCATCCAAAAGTATACACCTAGAGCCTCATAGAATTTTAATCAAAGAGTGCTGAATTATAAAATTTGTCGCATAGAGATTAGAGCAAATTATTCTAGACATCAAAGGTTAAGCAAATTTATCTCCCTGAATATTTTTGGCCACCTCGGGGAGAAAAACTATATTGGGCCAAATGAAAATTTTCTTGTGAAGGGAAGCAAAGAGAGTTTTCTCTCTCAAGAAAGCTTCTATTGCCAGACTAGGCCCCAAGAAAACGGGAAAGCAGAATTGATGATTATTGCTGCAGTTTGGATCTGAAAGCGCTAGAGTGAATAAACTCTCAATATGAACGTCTTGGGAAATAACAATACACTTGTTTCTTTGTCATTTGGTGGCTTTTTAGTCACACAAAGCAATTTGGATCGACTTTTACTATTCAAAGATCAAGTAATGGACGTTTTGCGATGAAAGCTTTCCCTGGTATGCATATGTTTCAATCTCCACAAGGAACTTCCACAGGGAAACAAAAATAGGCAAAGGAGGCACTTCCAAAATTTAAAATGGAAGAATGTAAGCCGTCTGTCAGTCTATGTGCAATTCATTAATGTAGAATGAAAGGCAGAGAAGATGGAACTTGAAAGATATATGTGACAGTAACTAGTACTAGTAGGCTGTTCGAGGTACTAGGCAGAAACAAGTTGAAATCGCATGTTATCTGTGAGTTAAGTTTCAAAATGGAGTTTATTTTGGGCTTGCAATGTGCTTAGATATGTCTAAGGCATTATTGATTTTGGAAGGCTTCTGTGAATTGATAAACAATAAGCTGATATTCTAACAAGAGGTTAACTAGCCACCTAGTTCAAGCTTGGAGCAATTGAGTGGTACTGGTACACGAGTTTGCAGCAAAGAGTGTAGAAAAATGTAGTGTGTTTCCTAGATTTTCTACTTTGATCTGATAGTTACTTACTAGTTCTGAATTTCAATTTGTTTTTCAACGATGCAGATTGTAATTTTTGAATGTTGAAGTTTGATTTCACCAAATATTTTGCTAATAACCTGGTATATAATTGTGTAGGTAATACATATCATATAAACATAAGCTTACGGTTACCTCCTCGATTGATAAGCACGCCACACTAATTTTTTTATATGAAAACAATCAAAACATGATGCAGATGTACACATCAAAACAGCAAGCATTAGACAGGAAACTCTGATACCTGAATACATGACGTAAGTAGTTGTGAAAGATCCCTTTTCATGTTATCTCTAAGAATTCCATATATCTTTTCTACATATGCAGTGAGCTGTTGCTTAAATAGCAAAGCAGGATACTTTGCTTCAACCAGTTGGATGCCATCAAGTCCCCGAATTGAAAGGCTGGATGAAGTAAAAGATGACCTGAACATCCTTCCAAAAAAAGATGTTGGCTGGGAAGTTTGAGGTTGACTTGAAGCAGACGCCTTTAGTGTCTTTTGGAGCAGAAACAATAACATAGATGTGTTTGATAGCCAATATGCAATGTGATTATTGTCCGTCTCATCCTGTCAGTTGTGTTAAAGGAAACCATGCTTATTAAAAAGTAGACATTATGTTGAAAATACATCTTTTGAAAGGTGACTTGTTGTTCGAACTACTTCTTTTCCAATGGTATAGATCGTGATTGGGATAACATATGGTACAAACTGTTTGGTGCTTTCTTAAATACAACAACCCAGTATAATCCCAAATGGGGGTCAAGATGCCCATAAAAACAAAGAGGATGCTTCCGTGGACCCATGATGCATTGCTGCATTTACTGCCCAAAACTTCACAAACACTAAGAAGCAAGGAAAGTTAAATGTTCCATTTTTATTTAGTCCATTAGCTCAAAACTAAAACATTGTCAATAATGACTCTTTTAGCTCCATTAGCAATGGACTCTTTTAACTGCATTGTTAAAAGCATTTTCACCATTTTCTGACATTCATTTTCAAGTAAAACTACTTTTCTCCTCTAAAAGGCATGTATCCCTTAAAAACAAGTCATCCCAAAAGGGAAGTCTGGCACATAAACAGTAGGGCTTGAACATTTAAACTGACAGAGAAGTCTTAGATTGGAAATAATTTTAAGATTAATAGTTGCAAGCCTTCATGATTCATAAGCACCTTCTTTCTCCACTCAAGATAAAGATGAAGGGTAAAAAAACATAGTGCTCAAGCTGAAAGTGAGTCATAATGTCATTCTGTTACTGTATTTCAGAGTAAAATGTGTGGTCTTAGTAAATTTTGACGACGGATTAGACTTTTCTTGCACACTTTAAAACATAGAGGATAATACATTTAGAGGGCTGATCTCACGGTCATCTATGGCTAATTCATCCAAAGATATAGGAAATAACCTCTATAGCAGTACCAATCATCTGAATTAGACGGTCAAAAACATTAGTTTTCTCTGCTTCAAAGGATTTCCAGTGAAGAAGGCATTTGTATATTGTAAATGCTGCAACTGGTTTTCCCTTGCTGAACCCAAGATCTCCAGAGACACATTTGATAATAGTATCGACATTCTCCTGCAACAGTAGGATAGAACATGAGATTTTTTCGTAGCACTGCATTACATTTATCTGTTCTAAAATATGATGGGCTCAAATCATTAACTCCCCTCATCCATGAGGCTGGTTTTTGGGTAAGGAATAAGGATATGTAAATCATTTTCCAAATTTAAATATGTGATTCCATTTCCAGTCAGAATTTTGTAGACAGAGTGAGCCTAGGCACCCTAGACTGAGCCCAAGCTACTTGGGATTGAGGCTTTGCTGTTGCGAGCCTCCACACCCTACACTTGGTGAAAAGTATTACTATAAACTGTGATCAATATTTTCTTAAGGGGACACTCCAAGAGTTTTATGTGGGTTCATGATGTAATTTTCATTCCTACCCCTCCTATGTTTCTCTCTGCAAGGTCAAAGCCGCCGTGCATAAAATCCAATGAAAATGATAACGGAGTTTAATCCTTGAAAAGGGATATGTTTTGAGAGTCTACATTCAATATCTGGCATATAATACTTCCTGCAAATAGTGTTTCTAGTTAAAAAGTCGTGTACAAGGTTCGTATTTGGAAATGTCTCAATAAACTACAAGTTGTTTCTCTTCTTTGTTTTCCTCTACTGTTATTTATAACACCACCAGTTCACATAGACACACACAGCCAATAGTCCATGCCCCATCCATACTGGTTTTCAGAAAGATTCCCTTGTTAGCAGATAAAAAAAGATGATTCATATTCTCATGATAAACTGACCCGCTGCCTCTCGTTTTGAGTTCTACTCAGCTGCTTATCAGATTCCGCGCCATGTTCGTTAGGTGATAGTGTTTCAGATTCCTATACAGACCATCTTTGAACATTAGCCATCCATGATACATCAACCATTATTATAAACCATGATAAAAGGAAGGAAGTAGTTGGGAAGCAGCATTTGTTTTCACTTACTTGAAAACCATTCTCTGAAAGCTGCAACCGAAAAATAAGAGATTGGTAAGAAAAATCTCAAAGAAAAACTAAACAAAAATGGTCTATGGCATCATCACCTCATGAGATACTGTTAGATGTTCTGACGTTCTTTTGGACCCCGGATTCAATAACGCTTCTTGCCTGAGTATGTGGACTTCAGTTTCCATATCAGAAAGCTTCTCGTTAATTCTGGCATAAGATGCAAAGCCAAAAAAAACTTTTAAAAAGGAGAGGGAGTATGATATCACAGCTTTACCAAACACAGTGGATAAATATGTGTACTGCATAAAATTCAAAAATGATTTTTTTTTAAAGATGAAAATATCTGAGTATAGTTGTTTCAAAGTTAATTAAGGCTTATTTGTAGATCTCCAATGCATAGACAAGTTATTGTTCCAACCTCTGCATGTCAGTCTTTAATTCAATCACTTTGGATTCAGCCTCCATAACCTGCTTCAATCGTTCTTCACTAAGTTTGTTTGTCTCATCAATTTCACTCTCCAATGAGGTAACTAAAGCCTGCAAACGTATGAATGAACATGTTGTGGTGGCAGTGACTGATGTGCATGTATTAAGAATCTTAACAAGCCATCTCTTCCAAGAGCATAAATGTAAAAGAAAAACTCACATCACCTTAAGCTTCACATTTTCAGCAGTAAGCTTATTGACCATTTCGTGATCATCACGATTATCAACCTTGACCTCTTCTGCAACAAGCACCTTTTCATCAATATTTTCAATCCTTTGTTCCTGCATGTTCATCTTCTTGGATTCTTCTAGTTGAAACTGCACTTTTTCTAAAGCAGACTGTAGTTTGGAAATTTCCTGTGTTTTAGATTCCTCCATTTCAACCTACATCAAAAGTTATCCAAACTTTAGAGCGATAAAACTGAAACCTAAATGTAAAGTGGAAGCAAAGATCATCTTTTTTTCCTTCAGGTAGTCCCAAACATGATAATAAGTGTATAAAATGATAACAAAATTTAGACATTTCTTAGCAACTCTGATATTTCAGACATCTCAGCTGAGTGGCGGAGCCAAAAGCACAAAATTTTGGTTACTGACATGGTGGTGAAGAAGACGAAGAATTGAAGCTATGGTGGATTTGAGAAATAACTGAGCCTTCTCGTCCTAGGCAAACAAGAATGGGGCATAGGGCTTTGTCATTATAATCAAAGGATTATTACCTCAAAACGAATAGAAAACCTCTATTTATACTAGTCTCAAGAGTCTCATTGGGAAAATATTAGAGATATAACTCTGCCATGTACCAGCAAGCAACTGAAGGCACGGGGACTAGGTGGAAGAATAATTTAAATAAATAAGCATTGTCTTTGTGCAGAATGGGTTCAGAATGTGATTTGAGAAAATCGTGATGGAACTCAGTTAAAAGGCTAGGATTCAAGAGTCCATCCATACCCTCATGCGCTTCTCCACTTGCAATTGCTGGGTAAGCTCTTCCACTTGTTTTTGCAGAGCATCTGCTTCCTTTGCTGCCTGAAAAAATAAGAAAAATCAGGACAATAAGGGTATGTCCTATAAATGAATTCCAATAAGGCAAAGAGTAAAAACTAGTCCATATTATTGCATTAAAAGTGCTTGAAAGAGGAATCTAAGCCATCTAGGAAAACGAACTCTCACCATTTTGAGCACGTATAGCTCTCTTCGGGCAAGTGTTACCCTACATGCACATTGTGTTGCAATTGCAGCTTTTACCACCCTCCTGTAATGAAGGTGCGCTAAGTGTCCACGGCCATGTCTCTGAAATTAAATTCATACCTTAGATCAATATTCAGTTTTCAAACACTGGGATGCACATGATAATTTTTTAGAGTATGATAAACAACCCATAAATTTGCTCTTATACATGTTTTTATTCTGGGAACTAAAAAACAATTAGAAGCTAATTTTAACGTGGAAACCCTTAAGCAGATCGTATATGTTGTTCAAGAATTGAACCTTCTTTTGAGGTACTTAAATTGGAATTTCAGTGTTTACAGGGAAAAAAGGGCTGCGTGTCGGGTGGGTAAAAAATATCAGGTTAAGGTCTTAGGTGATATTTGCAAGGCATTATTTGGAAGATTACCCAAGGTCAAGCTTAAATAACATATCAGTTCCAAACTCCCGTTGACAACATGAGATAAAATTCATATAAACCATACATGTTTTACCTTTTGGTAATACATTAGCTATGTTGGCTATGAGTATAACAGCTATCTCAACTCATCTTCGCCTAATGATATTTTCCAACTTCCATGCAAGTAGAAATAGAGAATGATGAAGACAGTTTTAGATGTTCTTCTCAGTATTGCTTCCTAACAAGGTTGCAAGAGGAAGAGCATCCTATGTAAAACTTCGTTACATTTTTTTCAGATAGTCTCTTTAGACTAAATTTCATGTCACCGATCACAAGTAGTTGGGAATACAGTGGAAATGATGGCGGTAGTAAGAGCTTGAACATGTTGATTTTGCCAGAAGTAATATTTGCCCATAACTAAAAGATCTAAGTTTGGTGATCAATCTTCTATCAAATAGGGACTTTGCGGCTGATATAAATGTGTAATGAGGTTTTAGAATGAAGGTATAATATATTAATATCTTCTATCTCATTACTATTGGTACCTGAATTAAGATGGCTGCTTTTGTTTCTTTTCTATATTTAAGCTCGTTACGTGCAGCCCTTTGGCGCAACACAGTCTGTATAGAAACAGCTGAATTCCACAATAATATATAAGCTGTCCTTGAAAGATGCATTCGTCCATACTTCTGAATCGTCAAAGAAGCTGCTTCCTTCCTCTTGCGCTCATAGAGGTTACGTGCAAGTTGACCTGTTTTTACCCTCATGATTAGGTCAAGAGAAATCCATGCATATATATTATTGCATCTATAAACCAAGATATAATGTGCTAGAGTGACCTCTGCACACAGTTTGGATTCCTATTGCTGAACCCTGCAACATGATAAAACTTTTGCGGGTATAATATGTGCGGACATTTTTCTGGATAGTGCATGCAGACCTTCCAAGGACTTCATTTCTGTGAGCATCTAAATCTGCCATCTGACCAGCTCTAAGAAACACCTTTGTTTTACCAATCTGCAATAGACCATCTTTAAGTACTCCTCGATCTTACATAATTAAATGATGATTTTTGTATGAATAATATACGTACTATGTAGTAGTAAAATAGCTGTGACTCCACATAAACAGAGGAAATTAACTGTGGGAACAACTATGGGGAAGCACGTAACTTAATATCATACAAAAGGTTCAGGTCTTACGTAGAGTTTATGTTCCCTCCATTAATGTTTTCAATTTAAGAAAATGTTCCATGTGTTTGAAGCATATTCCTAACTTCAAGGGTGAAGGGCATGCCAGAATATTCAATACTACTAAATTCATAAATGTCTCTCTCTAACCTTACGCTGTTAGCCTAAGTGAACAAATCAATATTTTATTAGTTATTGCCATACCATAATAGATGAGAAGGCACACGTTCCTCATGAACTGATTTGTTAAAAACAACATTCAATTTCTTTCCATTTTTGACGGAACATAAGTAGAGTCAGAGCATATAGTACCTGATAACCTTTGAGACCAGCCTTCTCTAAAATGCTTTTGCAAACGGCGATCTCATTGTTACTATCAATTAAGAGAATTGTTAAAGAAAGGGGTGACTAGAAGTAAAACCATACTACAGGAAAATACATAGTTCTAGTAACAAAGATAAAATTATATAAAAGGGATATACCTGTCACTCATAATCTCGGGAACAAGGATACGAAAACGATTAACAAATTCGTCAAATGCCTTCCGAGTGGGGAACCCAGCACAGCTTATCCTAATTGCCTCCATAACTCCCTGGAAAGATATAACAATTCATTGACCAAACTTGAAAATTACAATTATTTATTTGTATTATCAGACATTATGGAAGCTTACCCCACATCGAAGCTGCTGAAGTACATTTTGATTTTCAAATATTTCTGGCTTTAGAAGGTTATTTGGCTTAACGCAACGAATGTAGTGAGGCTCTGTGGCGCTGAGTGTCTCAAGCAACGCTTGCAATTGTTGCTACAATCATATACATGGTATCATTATTTCCATAACAACATCAAACTATAGCCAAAATGTCTGCAGAGGTTGCTTTAAGCATTAACACTCATTTTACCAGTAGTAAGTATAGGGATGAAATTTTATGTTCCGAAATTGTATTTCAACTGTTATTCAACTATTTGATTATCGCCACGTGCATATAAAATGTGGTCATGGTGAAGTGTGAAGTGAAATTACTAAATAATTTACTGACAATCCATTGAGTGGATTGTGTTAGTATCAGATGAAATACAGTTTCGAAATACAGGATCACATCCAGTAAAATCTGACCCATGCTTGAAACCTACCTTAAATCTGGTACCAATAGAGGAGAACTTCGACGATTTAGAAGTGTCTTCAGCTAAGGGTGGGAACAAGCCTGAGATAAAGGAACACCTTGACGCACTGAGGAGTTCCTGATGCTCTGGGATAACATAATCTTTGTTCTTATCCAAAAAGAAATCAGTTTGATATGTGACCTAAACATCAAAATTTCCAAATGTGAGAGACATATTAAGCAAGACTTCAATCTTTAAAAAATCTTAATTAGTAAGTATGAAAAATATATACATCTCCAGCATAGTGGCAAACAGTGAAGTCAGTCCGGGATAGTTTTGGCTTGCTGAAGCGCTTATTATCTTTGAAGGTTTGATAGAGCTTTTCAGCGAAAGTCTCATGAGTGGACCTTGGGAACATGCTACAAGATGGCATAAAGGAAATTTTGGAACGACAAACCAAAATTAGTAGTTTACTTAAAACATGAAATTGATTGAAAAGGTATAATTTTTACCAGGCCTCGTCAAGAAGAGCAATGATTCCTCCAGGCTTCTGAAAACATTAAAGTATATGGAGCATTAGTCTCAGCATGCCATGTACTTCGTATATAAAATTAAAAAAATGTAGTTGGGCTTAGCACTCTAACAGATGATGAGAACCAGCAAAGCATATGTGTGAATACAAAACAGGCATCTAAGCGAGTAAATACAAGGGAATCCCTCTAGTTATCCAGCCCTTATTCTGGATGCTCTGAAGAGAACAAGCCAATATACACGTGTGATCACAATCACTTCCAAACATAATCATTCCAATACCAAATTATATACATAGATGTGCAGGTCCATGTTGGAAGGAAAAATGAATCATCAAAAAATTTATCCCATGAAACAATAATCTTACAGTTCAATATGATCGACACACATTTAGGTTATCCCGTGGAGAGGATATAAAAACAACAACAAGAAACCCAGTTGACCCCATAAGGGGGTGTGGGGAAAGGTTATAAAAGCATTTCAATTAAATCCAACATGAACTGGACATACTATGTATTTTCTTCTATATGTACAAGTGTACAACAACAACAACAACAACAACAACAACAACAAACCCAGTAAAATCCCACAAAAAGTAAGATCTGGAGAAGATTAAAAAAAATAGTTTTTCAATAGAATCTAACATGAGTTTCTATGTTAACCTTTTCTATGAGATCAAGAATATCTTGGTTATCAACAAACTCTATATAACTCCAGTCAATTTCCTCTTTGGTATACTCTTCTTGCTCCATCTTGAAGACATGCTGTCAAATGAAATAAAGTGTGTGACATATATATGCCATTTTAACTTCAACTTGGTTTAATGGTTAATGGTTTATGTTATCAACCTAGGGTGCTCATAGTATTTCAGGTACAGACCTGGTTGAAATGCTGCTGCAGCTTTTCATTAGTCAAATTGATGCAAAATTGTTCAAAACTGCAAGTAAGAAATTAGTATTATCGATAGGAAAACAATCCACAAAGGGATTAAAAAACAGATAAAATAAATAACTGCACTACACCAAAAAAATACCAAACTTAAATAGAGAAACAAAACAAAAAGGGAAGTTTGTATTTAGAATTTTAAATGTGGAAGCCTCATTAGTAGTTTTATATCTCGATCTACAGAGAACAAGAACAGAGTTATCGTGCAGCATTCTGCAAGAATTAAACCTCTGTGAATGATGAAAACAAAAGCATACCAGTTAAGCACCTGTTTGTCTTGAAACTCTCAAATCCATAAATATCCAGAATTCCAATTAAATGGTTGGAATCAAGATCTTGGCCAATAGAATTGTTTATCGTGTCCACAAGCCTGAAAAAGAAACAAACAAACAAACAAGAAAATTAAGCCATCAGCACTTTACACTAGTGAAAATTTCACAGCATCAATCAATTTCATCTACCGACCAATCAAATAGTCTAGAATAAACTGTTTTTGCCAGAGCATCCCTACTGGTAGCAGCAGCTTGTGCATCAAGAGATTTTGTGATCTTCTCATCGCGAGTTACCATGATGCGTTTGCACAAGGAGTTCTCAAGTGACTTCTCATCACACCTGAATCAAATTTCAATATCATGAAACAGTTCTTTGAGACTTTGGGAGGGGGGACTACACCTATGAAGGATCAGAGATAGAAGAAACCTCACATGAAAAGATCAGCTACAATCTTAAGATGGGAGCGAGATTCATCATCCTTGGGTTCTGAAGAATCAGGGTCATTCCCCTTTTCAAATTCAATGTTACCCAAGTGGAGCACTGCAGCCACCACTCTAAAAATTGCATCCTGCAAATGAGTATTATTATCACCAAAGACTCATTATATGATGCATTTATAGTGATATGTGTTCAGATGCCAATACCTGTTTATCAGAACTTATTCCTACAACATCCATAGCCCTCCGAGTGGCAAGGTACTCTTTAGATTCGTCCAAGCCATCCAATTCATAGCAGTTGGATTGGTTTAGATAGTGAAATTTTCTAGGATTTGCCAATTTGTATCTTTCAACATCCTGAAAGGAGTTACTGGAAAATGTGAGAAAAATACGAAAGTAAATGAGCAGTTTAAAAAGAAATGATAGCAAACACGGATAATTGGCTTAATTGCAATATTATGAAGTCGTTGCATTCAAGCCACAATGATCTATTGTTGAGATTGTGAGATGCATGTCTTGCTTGTTGGAGATCATGAGGTCTATAGACTCTCTTCCTTACCCTTCACTTTCCTAACAACTTTGTGTGTGTGTGTGTGTAAATAAACATCCATGATAGCAAAATACTCAGAAAAACAGTGATATATTACTCCGTATATTTTAGGGATAATTCAAAGGACATACTATTTGTATAGTAATGGATTAAAGTCAGCTAAGTGTCTTCCTCAAAGTGGCAAAATTTAGAACAGTTTGGCACATATATATGTTTATACACACACACACACACACACAATGCTCCCAAAAATTCAGACTATGAATCTACTTTGAGGTGATGTACCTCGGGCGGTGCATTGCAAAGCATGTAGAAGCAGTGATAATTTCTTTCGGGATCAGACACTTGACAAACACGAGATCGTTCCAGCAAATATGTTCTGATAGCTGCTCCAGATATTCTCCCCCTTTTGTCAAATTGAATTTCGACAAATTTCCCAAAGCGACTGCCACCAGTACACATTGGTCAGCAAGCTCTAATCATCAGTTAATTAAAAGTGATGATAGTCATATTAACTATACTCCTATGTCCCATTTTAATTGGTCACTGTGTCTAGGTCAACTTTGACCAAATGTAGCAGCACTATTCAATGCTTGAAGCACTATATAATAAAAGGCTTATAAAAACTCTAGCTGTATCTAAAACGAGAGTAAATTTTCTATGAAATCTAATTCAAAGATTTGAAAGGGGCAGTTGGAATTCCAAAGGAGTAGTAAAAAGTGCAAATTTCACGAACCTTGAGTTGTTGTTCCTCACTGTTTTTGCATTTCCAAATGCTTCAAGAACTGGATTTGACTACCAAACACACATCCACACATTATTAAAAGAACTCTTTGGTTTCAACAAAATCAAAAGAAGTGGAGTATTAGGTGGTACACCTCAAGGACTTTCTGTTCCACAGACCTCCCGTCAGCAGCAGCTCTACCTCCCATATAAGCAAGGTATTGCATAAGCATTTTTGTGCTTTCGGTCTTGCCAGCTCCACTTTCTCCACTAACCAAAATTGACTGGCTTATCCCATCGTTCACCATCTGCCTGCAATAACAAGAGGAATAAGTAAAATTTATATAGTACGATGAAATGGGTATAGAAAGTGATGGTTGACAAGCCCACTAAATGTTGTCAGCTTGCCTGTAAGCCGCGTCTGCAATAGCAAACGGATGGGGGCTTAAGTCTCCAAACACAGCTCCTTTATACTTCTCCATAACGTCTTTTCCGTATAGATCAGGCAGCCTTTTAAAAGGATTTACAGCGATTAATATGCTACCTGTGTAAGTCTGAGAGAACAATTTGGTATGTAAGCCTCAGCCACCACTCGAATAAACCTGGAATTTCATGCTCAAATAACAAGAGAGAGTGCTTACATAAATTTCATTGGTCGCGTATCTACACTTTAAGTTATCCAAAACTCCTGGCTCGTGGAGATAGGCAAGCTTTGTCATGTCATCCACACCACCAGAAGGAGCCTCTGTATCTTTTGGGTAGACATTAGATGCCTTGGATATAATCTACAGCCCGAAGCTCAATATGTATCAGAACTTCTCAAGCAAGATGAATGCATTGCATTGATACAGAAAGATAGATACCTCACCGTAAAAATTGAATGAAAAATATGTATAGAAATTTACCTCCAAGGAAAGTAAATGCACTGGTATACATATGCTTTAACTCTCCATTCTTTTGTCAAAATAAAAAATGAAATGCAAAAAGGATCCACAAAGCAAGTGATTACCGTCTTCCCTGATGTACAGTTTACTTTAATCTCCTCGCCATCGACTTCCAAAACATTCCCATCAATCCAAGCTACCTCAGGGTCCTCAACCCAAACATGAGAACCTACCACAATAGAGGACAATGCACTCTGCACAAAATGTAGCATAGTATGAATTCGATTATAAAGTAGGGAATGCAGAGTGAATTTGGCTATGTGCTATTCAAATACAACTTGCTACTCCTTATTAAAGAGTTTCTTAAATAGCTACAACTGTATCATCCAAGCTCTAAAATTCATTACTTCTTAGCTTTCCCTTTTTAATCTTCTCATTTACTATACTATTCCAGAGTCAAACTATATTTTTATTTTCTACGCATTTTCATTGATCATTTGATAAAATGAATTAATCAAGTTCTGTTGTAGAACTTTTAATGTAATATTTAAATACATAATGTGGGATTTGAGTCGATCAACCCCCCTTTCCTCCTCCCCTCTCTCCTTTTCAGAGAATGTTGGTGCAAAAACACAGCCAATGAAGCACATTTCACCATCACTTTTAAACCAATATGCATTTGCCACAAGCCTACAAAGATACAATAATCTTCCTTTTCGCACACGTTTGGCATTAACCGGATATTCAATTACATAGAGATCTCCAATGAAATCTCGTGCAGATAATAATTATAAAAATAATGTTACTGTTATTATTATTATTATTCATGCCAAAACAACATAAGAAAAGAAGAACAAAAAAAAGAAATTAAATGAATGAAAAAGTTGATGAAATCCCATACCATTTTATTTTATTTTTCTCTCGATATAGTTCAGAGCCAAACGGAAAAGAACGTTGATGGGATCTTCTTCCGAGACGCAATGCCGGGAAAATTCATAGATCGTGATGAAGAAATGAAGAAGGTTTGAATTAAAAATGTCCAGGCGCTACATACATACAATGGCGGGCCTCTGGATTTACACGCTGTAAATAATTGTGTCTCTATAGGTAATCTGGTTGAAGAAGGTAATTAAGGTAGAGGAGAAATCAAAATCCATTCAATTTACCTCCCCGGGAATGGCGTTAGTTGTTTGTTCGTTGGCTCTTTCTGTTCTGTTGGTTCCATTTATTGGTTTCGGGCATGGTTCGTTACCCGTTTACAATACTTTCAATTGCACTGTAGCTACTAGAGGTGAACCTAGTATGTTATGAATTATGATACCGTATTTGGTTCGATATCGTATCAAATATTTTAGTCTGGTATTGAATTTTACATCGTATTGATTCTGATCTAGAAGTATCAATTCGGTGTAGTTTGAGATCGTTCAGTTTCAATTTCAGTACGTAAATATTGGGATGAATATATATATATATATACATACCTAGTTTACACTTTGAAAATATACAAAACTCTTTATTTAAAAAAATTGAAAGTATATCTCAAATAAAGAATGACAAAAAATTGAAAAATGAATAATTAAATGCAAAAAATGTTTATAAAACTTACTTTAATTTATATACTTCGTATTTCACAAACAAAAGAGAACGAATGTTAATAAAATAGTATTTCAAATGTTTGTTATTTTTTATATTCATCTACAAAAAAATTAAAGATCAAATAAATGATTATTTGTTAGAATATAAATAACTGTTCCTGGACCACAACCACAAGCTTGAGCTTTTGGTTGAATGGGTTCTTTGACATGGTATCGGAGCCTCATTGACTAAGAGGTCACGGGTTCGAAACTCACCGCCACCCAGTTTAAAAAAATTAAGGTTTCACGTGCAAGGCTTGAAAAAGACTATGCCTGCACGTGAGGGGGCGTGTTAGAATATAAATAACTGTTCCTGAACCACAAGCTTGAGCTTTTGGTTGAATGGGTTCCTTGACATTGTTTACATAAAAGATTAGTTGTAATTCATCTACACTTGAACAAACTTTTCAAAATCAAACTACTCCGTATTATTTAATGAAGAAAATATAAAAACATTACTATTTTTATACCATATTCGTATATATGTTCGGATCGAGATTTTTCGGTATAGAAATTACCTTGTACCGATCCTTACATCGTACCGACCATTTGGTTCAGTACAATATAGTTCTTTTTTGGTATATTATCGGTTCGGTAATCTCGATTTTTTTGAGAAATTTCATGATCGATTCAGTATTTGCTCACCCCTACCAGCTCGCAAATTATATCGTACAGCCGGCTGTACGAGAAGAACCGTACAGCCGGGGGAAAATAAGCGGTAGATGCAGACGATCGAAAAAGGCCGGCAAAAGAGAGGCGACGACAAAGGGAGGCGCGGGGAGGAGGCCAAAACGATGGAGAATGGCAGGACGAGGGAAGGCGATGGTGGCGGCGGCTTTACAGTAGAAACCCTAGGTGGGATTGAAGAGATGGGATTGTAATGAATCAGATAGAAGAAATCCTACTAGAAGGGTAGCGATGAAGAAGATTGATGATGGTACCGAATTTTTCAATTATGAAAGAATTAAACAATACCTTATTTCAGAATGAGCATTTCCTTATTTGAGAATGAGTATCATATTGTTTTTTAAGAATGAGCACAACACTATTTATTATAATTATATTAGACAAATTTGTAAAAATAAGTACTTCTTTATTTTAAAATGAGTACTACCTTTGTCAGAATGAGTACTACGTATTTCGAAATGAATGTTTATATTTGTACGAGAATGAGTACTACTTTATTTCATAATGAGTACTACCGAGATGTACCTATCTCTAGGTACATCTGAATGTACCATATACCTTCTCCTACCAGCTAGGGAAGAACAAAAGGACTAAGATTGCTAGTCCCAAACTAACAAAAAAGTTAAAAAGTTTTATAAATTTGTCATTTCTAAATTTTACTGAGAAACAAAATAATCACAACATTTACTGAAATATTAGATTTATAAATTTTAAATTTGTGAATTTTTTAATTTTTATTTGTGAATTTAACACTTTTGGAAATACTGACAAAAAAAGACCAGTGTAGGTTGATACCGAACTAGAGATCGAAAATTGGAATCAAAATAGATCTCCGGGTCGTTCTAGTCTCGGATAGCCTATTTGAGAGATCACACACAAACAACAGTTATCAAATGCCTAGAATAGTAAACATGAATTCTTTTTTGAAATGACTGCCTTAGAACGGTCTGGTTTCAGATAGCGAGTCTTTTTTATGGGTGGAATGTCTGCCCTAGGTCGCAATATATATTGTACAATTGGTGTACGGTGTTTCTCATACACCCATGGTGACTAATCATTTTCGAGTAATTGAATACTCATTTTTCTAAAATTCGTTTATGCTAAAAATGAGTATTCAGTATGTTATTTACTTGAAAATGAATAATCTATTACTCGAAATGGGTATTCAGTTACCCAAAAAATCATACAAAAAATGTCGTACATCCGAATATACAGTACAATATATAGCTACTCACCTTAGGCTCCCCGATGCCCCGAGCCGACAGAGTAGTGATGAAGGTAAATCAATATACAACCTTAGTTTAGTTTTCCGAGAGGTTGTCTCGTGTCTGATGCAGTCAAAGAGCTATCACATTAGATAAAAGGAAATGTAAGTTAGAGGATCTCAATATCATTGAACAATATTTTATTTTCTGAATATCTCAAGAATGAAGATCGATGTTAGGATTCATAGGAAAGTTCATCGAGGTTCGAACTCGAGCAGAGACATTGACTCTTTGTGCGTCATTAGATTAAGATAAATATGAACAAACACTACATTATAATCGAGTCAATATCACTAAAACAAGTCACGTATATGGTACACTTATCTGATGGATCCACTTGTAAGGAGAACATGGCATGGCAATGGGCAGGTAGTAGACGTATTGTATTGGGCGAAAATGATAAGTGGAGCGCCAATAGAGCAGTACGTGATAGACAAAGGGCCGGCAATGACACGTAAACTCATTGCCTTTTGAAGGTGTATTGATGTTACATTTACATTTACATGTGAGTTCCTAATTTTTTTTTTTTTTTTTGAAAGTACATGTGAGTTCCTAATAATAATAATTGAATTTGAACGAAACTCGAATAATAATAATAATAAATAAATAAATAATAATGCATGAAGCGCGGGCGGGCGGGCCACGGCTTATGTATTGTCAATTGAACAACTTTATTTTTTTGGCTATGTCTCTAATTTAATCTCTCTACAATGGTACATACGTGGAGACAAACTTAAGCTGTGTGTGATGGCAAAATCTTGTTGTGTTGTATTTTGATCATATATATATATTCTTCTAAATATACTTTATGGGTTGAATTTACCACTTAAGAAAAAATTATTTTTTGTAAAAATAACTCTTGTATTAACTCATCAAAATGTCAACAAATAAAACATCCCAAATACAATATAGAGGGGAAATCGAACGTAGAGTCAAAGGCATGTGCCAACAAATGAGTAACTTAATCCGTAAATGTTTTACTGTGAAACATCCTGAAAAATATCTATCAAGCTAAATTCGTATATGTATTCTCCCCTTCACACTTTAATTTTTTTATTTATATACTTATTTTGGTGAATCGTACATTGTATCATATATGATACTTGTAAAATTTCCGATCCTCCCTCTTATGTATTCAGACTAAAGACTCACGATAATAATAATTCCAAACAATCCTCGCATTTCAAACTTTGCATATATGATACAATGACATAATTTAACATTAGGTAGATATTACAATGGTGGGTCATGAGACCCTTGAATCTACCCACATACACTTGAAAAAGTAAATCTCCAGTAATAGTGAACATTTACTTGAGTAATGACTACTGGAAAATGCCCAATGGTCCTACATTGGGAAATAAAAACATATGATCCTATATTGGAAAGTCATTATCTTTTAGTCTTATTTAGGTAAATCCCCTCTTAAAAAATGGAAAGAAATCAATTGCCTAACTCCCCTCAAAATTTTATAAAGTCGATCATAATCTATTAATCCCTCTCTTTATAGTATTTTGATGTTTCAAACTTCCGATAGAAATCACCCTAAATAGGACTTTCATGTTTTTTTTCTCGAAATAAACTTCGCATTGTGGTAATGTGACATTGTACATGTACACATTACTATACTTTTTGGTAATATACATAACCATGTTTGGTAATGTAAAGGTATTTTAAGTCTTATTTTGAGAATAAAAACATAGAAATTCTATTTTGATATATTTTAAATGTTTTACTACTGTATTGGGATTTATTCTTTTCTAAGCTCCATGATATATTGATATTCTCCCTCCGCCCCATACACTATACATCCCGTGATTCCAAGCAAGAAGCTAGCTGGCCAGCCCTATATATATATACACACACACACACACACTCCATTACTACTGTATACTTCAATACTTGTTCTGTTGAACTATATATATATATATATATATATATATATATATAAATGGCCCCGGGATGTTTTCAAAGCCGCCGCAGCTGCCGGAGGTTCGGGGACGGGAACAAGGACGAGGCGGTGGAGGGGATGAAGTACAGGGTGAGGGTTCTGCAGCGGGAGGTGGAGGAGATGATTTGCATCCGGGAGGAGGAGAGCCGGATGCTCGAGCGCGAGACCCTCCTCCTCGCCATTAGAGAGGCGGAGTGGAGGAAGGAGAGGGAGGCGCTCAAGGACCAATTGAACATGTTAAGGAATATGTTCTTTTGCGACCAAAGACCAAGATTCTTTAGCAGCAGTAGTAATAGTAATAATAATAATGGTGAAGAAGTTTGTTTAGATGAGATGATGAAGATTATAAGAGATGATGAAGGTGTTGTTGACAACAAGTGGAAACGCCTCTACTTTGCCATCAAGGTCGAACTCGATCGCCTCATTCTCACCACCAACAACGACAACAGCACTCGTAGTAATCGAGGTGTGTTAGTTTATTCATGCTTTTTTGTCAAATGTTTGCCGTTTTTTTAATCGGAAAATTGAGTTTTTTGATTGAATCGGTTAATTGCATGTATATGTGGTGAAGATATGGAGGAGGAGGTGAGAGGCAAGGAGGAAAGGATTAGGGATCTAGAGTCAAGAATTGCATTCTTGGAGCAGCAGGAATTGAGGAGACAAAGGGAACTTGACATCTTGAGGCAGAGCTTGAGGATTATGTTTTACTACAACAACCACAACAACAACCAAGCATTGTCTTTTCATCTCAATTAATTCATCAAACATATCATATATATATACTTCATCCATCCCTAAAAGATTTTTCTATTTCATTTTTGCACATCTCATAAAACACTTGTATCCCGCCTCAAATGCTAAAAAAAACTTTCAAAATAATTTCTACCCACAATAAATGAGAAATATGGTAAATTTTAGGCATTTTAGATGTAGGTAGAAGTGTTTTATAGAATGCGCAAAAAATGAAACATGAACATCTTTCTGGGACGGAGAGAATATTATAGAATAATTATCTAGAGAATGGTTTGTTTTATATTTATATATATAGTATCATTTCTTGTCAATTTGGGAGAAGAAATCCATTTTGTGTAGCTTTGGTATGTTATGATATTTCAAAACTATTGTGGGATTATTGTTAATTTGTACTCCCTCTTTGTCCACGATACATCTTCTCATTTCATTTTTTAACAATTAAAATATCAAAATTACCCACACTTACTTTATTTATTACACCTCATTTAATACACTCCATCTATTTTCATTAAGGGTATTATGGTAAATTTTCACCTTTTTTCAACTCTCCTTAAAAACTATCAAAAGTCAAAATGAGAACATCTTAGGAGGACGGAGGGAGTATTATATTCAAAATTTTAGGAAAAAGATGGAGAACAGTCAAATGAAAAGGAAAACTCCAGAGCAATGGGAGTAAGTACACAAAGAAATTGAATTTATTGCAAATCTGATGACACATTCCCAACCCTCTCACCTGGGAGATCACAATTTTTTTAAAAAAGTACAAATCTAATTTAGAACAGCTCCAAGAGAGATCATTAGTATATAATGACGATTATTAGCAGCCCTAAGAAGTAATTAATAAGTTAATTAAATTATTGAGATGGGCTTTGCGGCAATGGCATATAGATTCATTTCTTCTGGTCACCGCCCATGCCCAGGGTGTTCTTGACGCCGTCGATGGCGCCCTGAGCCATACTGATCATCTGCTCGCCGGTCTGCTGGAGAAAGCCGGTCTCCCCTTCCTCCGCCCGCCTCTGCTGGGCAGACTGTTGCGCGTTCTGGGTCGCACTCTCCGCCTTGTCCACGGCGGAGTTCGCCGTCCCCTTTGCTGACTCTGCCCATTGCTCTGCCTTTGCCTGCACCCATCCCCGTTGATTAATGAATTTCCCATTTCTCTCCCGTCCAAAAATAAAGTTTTATTTTTGTAGTTAGATTTTTTGAACTTTGATCACATGTTATTGAAAAAATAGATCGAATTTTTATATCGATGACCGCATACTTTTGAACTTTGACAGCAAATTATGGAAAAAATAAGTTCATTTTTTTAAATATTCATTTCCTTGACTTATATATATGCAATTTGCGTGGATTTGCATCAAGGTGGTAGGTAAGCGGGTAACAAACCCTATTCTACGGAAAAACATATTCATGACCATCCGAAGCCGATACATTGTTGCGAACAACCTTACGAACCATAGATAAATAGATATTAATAATAAAATTGTCACATTAAAGACCGTGAAAAAAGTTAAATGAAAGAATTAATGAAAGAAATAGTTTGTTTGTAGATGTGAATGATGAATTAAAATGTGCAACCTGAGTTTGTCCATGGGATTGGCCTGCTGTATACTGAGTGCTAGACATCTTTGGTTGGATTTTCAAGTAATTGGTTGTGGGTTAGTGTGAGTATATATATATGTGTTTGTCTAATAATTGTGATGATGATGATTTGGTTAAGGTAATTAGTGATTAAGGGTTATATATATATATATATATATAGATGGGGGTGAGAGGGATTAATAATGTAATTAATTAGTGGTAATATATGATTATTGGCCATGCTTGTTTTGCTGCATTTGACCAGCCCAGAGAGTGTTTTGCTGATATCTTCTGGTTGGGAGGTAATTTACTCGTAATTAAAGAAATTCGTGGGTTGACTTTAACCAACTTTTTTTTTTTGAAGGACACTTGATCAAGTTTTAATACCTCCTTTGCAAAATGATAGAAGCAAAAAATGTTGTGTCAAGACCAACCACAACCTGTCACAACTCACAAGGGATATACGGTTTTAATTGTAGGTCCAACATAATTACTCTCTCCGTCTCTCAGTATTTGTATTTGTTCATTTTTGACTTTTTTTCGATCAAAATTTGTAAACTCTGACCTCTAATTAATAAAAATGACATTAGATATCGATACGAAAATAGTTTTATTAGATTTATTATATAAAATATTATTTTACCTACTTGATATATAATACTGTATATATTTTATTTAACTATAGGTCAAAAGTTAAAAGTAATTGACTGAAAAAAGTCACAAATACTCTGAGACAGACGTACTAGATGTTACACATTCTCCATTACTTAAAACATGCATGTTTTATGGGCATTTGGGGAAATTTAAATAGAGTTTGAATTTGTATCATCTCTGGATATTACAACCTTCACAAAGGTTCTCTTTTTTCATTTGAAAAAATTAGCTTCTTACAATTTTTTTAACTCTTAGTTTCTTCCAATAATGTCATAAAAAATCTATTCAAATTTATAACATAACACATCAAACACGGACAAAGATGAATTCTTGTTTATATTTAAAATTAGTTTTCTTATATACTTTTTTGAATAGTTATATAATTGAGTGATTTTTTTAACACTTTATTTTTTCCAACGTATTCTAACTCTTAGTTTTTTCCAACTTCTTTCAGTTTTTTTCAACATCTTTCAGTTTCTTCCAAATCTAGTTTTAGAATTCCAACAAAAAAGAACACTGCGAAATTAGGTGTTTCCATATCTTCCTATTTTGAGAGATATCAATTCGAGAGTTCGGATACATCTCTCAACCGCCTGTTACCTTTGCTTGTCGATAACAATCATCGTTTTAGATTTCTCATTATACCTTCATTTTGTATTTGAGAACTCATATTACTTTTGTACTAGATTTCATAATTCAAATCATATATCTTCCTTGCGGAATCAATCAATGACTCGTAACAACTTATACAATCAGTGAACAACTAATTCTCAAACGAGACATACATGTCTATTTTTAGTGCAAATATTATCTGTCTCAATAAAAATCTTATGTTTGAACTATGTTTGTAATTAGTGTTAACATTTTAAATATCATAGAGTAATTTATTAGTTAGATTGAAACGAATACAAGCCAATTAAGAGATGAGACAAAAAATGGACTTGTGCAGCCTACAGTGAGTGAGCTTTAATTTGGTTTTGGGTTGCCATTAACGGGCGAAACAAGTTGGGCCTAGAAGTTTCGCAATTCTTCTTCCTAGTCCCAGTGGTCACAATATATTTTGTTTTGTAATTTTACACTGATATTTAAAAGGCCACAAGTCTTTATTATTTTCGTAATGAAAGATTCATTAATAATTAAAGAATCATTTTACACTGATATTAATAATAATAACTAGTTCTCTCCTGAGTTGAGTAGTAAAAAGACGAAAGTCCATTCTCCAAGACTAGTGAGAAAGTTCACTCATGTTCAGAGACGATATGTTGAGAATAATATAAACAGATACTACATTGTAATAGAGCCAATAACATTCAAGAAATGATAATAATAATGTGGATCTTTTGGTTTTTGAAAGCAGAGTCAAATTATGATCTGAGGCACTTACGGTGCTCTATTAGTAAAATTGATTATTCTTTTCTCACAAACCCTTGTCACATCAGGTTTGGGGGCAAGCTTTAACCCGTTTGAGCGCAGAATTGTTGGTCTCGACCTGTCATTCATCACTGAGGGTGTTCGGGATAGATTCAGAGACTGGGGCCGCAAGAAAATGCTTGCACTGCCCCTGATATTGAGTGAGAGGGTGATCGGTGATGTGGGCTACTAGGAGGAGATTGATTCATTCCTCCACGGTCCAAAGTGGAGGTACCTTTTGTCCCTACATGCATCAGCTAGCTTACGACTGATGATTGAGTTCCTCTATTCGCTGGTGATGATATTTAACCCAACAACTATGTCGTGCGAAGGATTGAAGAATAATAAGAATAGTATTGGAGAAAGTAAGAACTCTTAGGTAGGTGTTTGTATTAGTTATATTCAGCTTCGGTTACAATGAAGGATTTATCCTCTATTTATAGTCTATTTCTACCGTATACAAGACATGTAATATTTCGTGCGCTACATTGTCGGTAATTCTTCAATCATGCATCAATCGTGACATGGATTTTGTCATCAACCCTTCCTCGATCCCACGAATTGGAGAATTGTGCTTCATTCAGGTATCGAGCCTGACCTGACACTCTGGGTCCACCTTCGGACCTTGACTCTACATTCCGCAGTTGGATTTATATCCCTGCTGGGCCGTGAAATCACAATTCTGCTGTCCATATCTGATTACCGAGCCCGGATATTCAGATTCTGCAGGCCTCGAGTTCGTAATGTTAATGATGTATTTCCCTCTTTTCGAATGAGGTTCACACTTTTGAAAGAGATACGATATCCTTGTCCTCGATATAGTTTTTTTTTTCCAAATTTTCCTCGATATAGTTGTTCACAAAAAAAAACACAAAAAGTCATCATCCACGTATGAAAAACCGTGTGGATAAATGTGCATGTAAACGACAAACCGACCGGGTAGGATTGACGAGGTCACAAGGGAAAATGACCAATCCTAAAACCGCACAACACACAAAGAGCTACTCCATTCCGACCGAGTCAAACCCCAAACTGTTACGGAATCCCCCCCTCCAGACCTCCCTGCATTGTTGTGTCAAGAAAACACGGAATAACTTTTTAACGCCCCATCCCAGTGGTAATAATAGTTTTAACAGTAATTAAATTTTTTTACGGAGTATTACAGTAGGTTGAGTACAAACAAAGTGGTAATTAAATTTTTATCAGTAGTACAGAGCATGCAGTATATTTCAAGGATGTAAAAGTTTCCTTAACATGGCAAAGGGAAGAACACCCAATTCCCTCTTCCTAATTGCACAACTACAATATACACACATATATATATATATATATATATATATATATACAAGAAGAAATAGAACGAGGCAAGAGCGACGGTGGCCGGCGGCCCGCCGGGCTCAGACTTAGTGCATGAGAGCAACGGCGGCTTCTTGAACCAGCGGCTGAGTGACGTGCACGAAGTGCTCCGCCTCCCTCTCCACCTCCTCCCAACACCTATCCGCCCTCTTCCCTTCCTTCATCTTCTTCACGAACGCCACGAACCTCCGCCAGTTCTCCGCCTGGAACAGGTCCGGGTTCATCCTCAGGTACGTGAACGCGCACATCTCGTCTCTGTCGTCGCCCAGCGCCGCCGCCGTCCTCAGTATCTGCTCGTGCGCGTACCCGTCGTACCGAGGCAGCGCGTTCTCCCCCGCCAGCGGGACCCCCGCCTCCCCTGTCGCCAGCGCCACTTGCTTCACCAGTTTCTCCGGGGCGCACTGCGCGTCCTGCGGCTGCTCGTGGTCCCGCATCTCGACGCAGGTGAAGTTGAAGATGGCGCCGTGGCGGCCGAGCATCCGGGCGATGGGAAGGTACCCGTCCCGGAAGCGGGTGTTGTAGTACCCGGCCGTGAGCTCCGGGGCGTGGGACCGGGTCCCGTAGTGCCAATGGATTCCGGCGATCTTGGCGGATATCCTGACGCTGTTCTTCTCGAATAGGGATTTGGCGGATTGTAGTATCCTCTCGCCGTGGTCCAGAAGCATCTGGGAGTACCAGGAGAGGAAGAATTCGCCGTAGGGACTGGTCCAGCCACCTTCTTTCCGGAAGAAGTTGGTGTCTTCCGGCCAGTTGTTGTAGTGGCCGGCATCGGTTGGGCCGTTATGACCCCATTCAGGCTTGCCTATGGCTTCCGCTGTGGCTTTCAGGCTGCTAATCATATACTGCAAACATAAAAACAGACAATTGGTAAAGACATTACACATAATTATTGCATAATCTACAGATCAGATTGTCAAACATATAATAATGAAGGTCTTTATCAAGTTGATCCATCTTTATCAATCTAAATACCAACCTTATCAAAGCACTGAAAAGCCCCAATTCCAGGGAACCTCCATGTCCCATTTTGCTCAGGGTAGGAAGGAAAACGGAGCTCTCCGGCTGGACCCATGCCGACTTGAATCTCCTACATTGCCAAAGAAAGGAAAGAAAACCCATGACGACAACAATATAAACCAAGATCCCACTGTCTGGTCTGGAAAAAAACACATAATATTGCAGAAACTCACCACAATGGTGTCACCTAGCATGTCTTCAAACCTGTCCCTAAAAGCCCTCATGAAGTCAGAGTAACACTGGACAGGAGTTCTTCCTTTAAGGACTGGAAGGGTATCACAACCAAGTGATACATACTCATAATTCCTCCTTCCCCATTGATCTGTGTATGCAAGGTCTGGATCCTTGTCCATCTCCTCCCTCACCCACCTTGGAAGAGGAATCCTGATTTCGAAAAACGGGTAGACCACAATAATCAACAACAATATGTTACGATAGTAGCCTGCTAGTCCTCTCTATTCGATCGATCAAGACCAATATCGTCAATATGTGCTACAAAATGCCTTTCCAATGTAAATCTTGTTACTTTTTACACACTTAAAAAACCAGAGTATTAGTTCATAAATGTGATGAATGGCCAAGAATCCCCAAGATGTATGGGAAAACACTTAAATTCTCAGTTGTACCCAAGGAATGGGGTGAAGTGACAAAAAAAACCAATTGTAATTGATGTCCACCATTGTTAGGCACAAGCTTGCAAGTTTTAAACTCATTTCTTAAAAAAGATTTTAGGAAGGAACAACAACCAGGGACAGAGAAATCATCTTCTTTAATTTGTTTACGTATCTATGAGGATATGATCCTGAGATTCTGCTACGGCTAAAAAATATTGGGCCCTAGTGGAAAAGGGAAAGAACTGGATGTCGGCAAGTAAAGGTGAAACCGTACTTTGCCTTTTTCCCCAATTTTGAAGAGTCAGATCTTAGAAATCGATGGGAATCCCTAAAATTTGGAACAGGAATAAAGTGAAAAATAGAATTTTACGGTATGGTGAAATTACAGTAGTTCAGAGGGTAAAAAAATAGGGGACTCACGTGCAGGAGTCTCCGACGTTTCCGCCGCACTGGTGGAAGGACATGACGGCCTGAACCTTGAGGCCGTGCTTCTTAGCCATCTCCAGCAGCTCGGAATATCCGCCCCAGTTGTACTCTCCCGGCGAGTCCTTCTCCACCAGCCCCCACCAGACGTCCATCATCACCCCCTCCACTCCGGCGCTCTTCAACGCCTGCAGGCTAGCATTCATCGCCTTCCTCCGATTCACCGTGTGGTCCATCTTAACCGAGTCCAGCGGCATCATCACGAACACCGGAACCCCTCTCCCCCTGCCCTGCCCCAAAACCCCCATCTTGTACTCCCTCTCCATCGCCTCCGCCGTCGGCGCCTCCATCAACGCCTGGCAAGCCGCCGACAGATCCTGCCGCATCCCGCCCCTCACCGGACTGATCGGCGGCGACGGCGACACTCTGTCCACCTCAGCTCCCGATTTCCTCACCGAAACTCGAAGATTCGTCTCCGGATTCTTCCAGAACGCCGATGTCACCACCGTCGCCTTCGCCGGCCCGTCTCCGGTTCCACTCTCCACTGCTAACGGAGTTCCAGAAATTGCAGCTATTTGGTGCGATAGATTCATCGCCGCACGTCAAAAATACTCCAAAATATTTAATTTTAGAAAAAGGAAAATCACAGAGATAATAATAATAATAATAATAATAATAATAATAATAATAATAATAATAATAATAATAATAATAATAATAATAATAATAATAATAATAATAATAATAATAATAATAATAATAAATGATTTTTATGATAAAATAATCGCCAATAATTTGTGAGGATTTGAAGCTTGGAGATTCGGATGAGGGAAATGAAAGTTGGGAACGGTTATTTATAGGATTTTTTTTCTCTTTTAGAATATTCGGGTGGGAGTTGAGTGGTTCGATAATGTACGCAACTGGAAAAACGGACCGTTCCGGTTATGCCACGTGGAAGGGTGACACGCGGCAGAGGATTAGAGACTGGAGGTGGCGACGGTTCAGATTTGCTTGGCGTCACGAGAAGCGGACGGTGTGGATCGACTCCGCGTGAACGGTCCAGCGATATAGGCCGATAACGCGTAAAATAATCACCGAAAAGAGCCCGAAACGTGGGAGTGTCGGCGTGGTATCTTCAGAGCCCATTTATCCAAGCGGCCCAATCCAAAAAATGATCAGAAACAGTGCCATGGGTTTGCTCGGGTAGTCGGGTAAGCTCCAGTTCCTTTAAATGAATAATCGAAAATTTGATTACAATAGAATCAATATAATAAAAGTATTTATACACTACGGAGTATATAGTTCAATTTGACTTTGAATTTTAGAAACGCATAAGGATATATCTGATATCCGATCGATATTCTCAAGGGATATGATTTTGATTTTTAGCATTTGTTAAGATCTGTTTTTGAATGCGATATCTCGTTAAAATAAATAGATATGGATTTGGTAATGGCATATCTAATCTGATTAACATCCATTTACACCCCTATGCTTTGGTCACAACAGAAGAATATAGAGTTGAACAAGAACCGAATTCATATCGAAAATCTCCAAAAACCCAATAAAACCTAACTAAAGAAACCAAACCAAACAAATATTGCAAGGAAAAAAGTAAATCATACCGAATGATTGGTTCGATACTTGGAAATGATCTATTATAAATGTAATAATCTTGTAAATTTTCTTCATTACCTAATAAGTTTGTTTTAAAAATTTTGTTCAAATTTTATTATGCATAGTTGTGTACTTGTGTATATTATACTTTTAGTCAATTTAAATTTTTTTGTAGATGAATTTAGAAACAATAACACAAATTTAAAAATATTATTTTATTATCAGTCATTCGCTTTAGTTTGTGAAATATGAACTTAGCTTCTTAAGCATTTATTGAAATTACTTATGCATTTTTTAGTTTTTATGTTTCTTTATTAAAATATACTTTTGATTTTTCAAATATGAAAGATTTTTATGAACTTTCAAAGTATAAATTGTCAAGGAACTGAACCCAACCAAAAGCTCAAGCTTGTGATTGTAGCCGAGGAACAGTTATTTATATTCTAACACACCCCTCACGTGCAAGCGCAGTCTTTTTCGAGCCTTGCACGTGAAACCTTAATTTTTTTTTAATTGGGTGACGCTAAGTTTCGAACCTGTGACCTCTTAGTCAACGAGACATTGATACCATGTCAAGGATCCAACCTAACCATATGCTCAAGCTTGTGATTGTGACCCAGAAACAGTTATTTATATTCTAACATAAATTAGGTGTGGATGTATTTATTCCGATTTGTATCGAAACCAATACCAAATCCTCTTGTATAATACCAAACCAAACTTTTCGGATCGAAACTGATACGACACAAAATTCCATACCAAACTGAAATGTTGGTACGCTATCGGTACAAGGTAAATATCATATGATGTCGTATCATTCTCACCCCTAGGAGAATGTACACCCATACCTCTAACTGTGCATAGAATTAGGTATGTCCGACGATTAATTATTTTGAATGTGCAGAATGTTCATTTTCAACGTAGTATTCATTCTAAGCTCTCTAAAGCCTACTCAACATAGTTTTCATTTTGAAAAGTGCTCTTTCTAAAACAAGTTTCTTTTAAAACAACTAGTGTTCATTCTTAAATATTTTTTTAATTAGAAGTTTGTTATTTGAATTTATATTAGGGTTCATATTTTACATAAAAAGTGTTCGAATTTTTTTGAAAGAATTATGGGTTAAGTGCATGAATAAAAATAACCTTTAGCGTAAATAAGAAGTCTCCTCATTCGACAACATCGTTAGAGTTTAGTATTATCATTCTAAAAAATTACCGAGTAGCCTTTAGCATTAGCGTTTTCAAAACTAATCTATACTGTTAAATCTTGTAAAAATTTGCTAAAGTTAATAATAAAAAATGTTATACCCAATTTCCCAAACAAAGCCTACGTGTGTCATTGACGCATTGTATCCCGTAGGGCTCCTCATAACCTGTTAGACGATCACCTGCTAGGTAATTCATTAGACTTTGATCACAAATTGATGACAAAAGGTAAAATTTGTATTTGTTACTTGCAGAGATTTTATACATAGCATAGTCATTCTCTTAGAACACTTGCAAGAAATTGAAATGGTATCCTACTCCCGAGCAACCCTTTCTTGGCCAATTGAACAACGTCAACATGTAATTTTGTGAGCCGTCCACAATCTATGCGTGAGCCGTGAGACTTCACATACTAGGTTGTCGTTTACTCCTTTGCTTATTTGTTGTTAAGATAAGCTTGCTCCATTATTAGAAAGCCACCGTAAGAGTTAAGACTCGTAAATAGACTAATTAAAGTTTACTCACGAACCAAATTTTTTTAATTATTAGTGTTACCATTTCAAATATTTTTATGATATTATATACGGATTATTAATTTGAAAACATGAAAATTATACAATGTCCTTATGGTTTTTTCAAAACATTAATGCACCCCTCTAAATCAAAATGTTAATACTATTTGCCAAAACGCAAAAAAAGATACTAAAGCATACATAATTAATTTTCATTTGATAAAATGATATTTTGAAAATATTTGATATAATAAATCTAATAAAAATATTTTTGTACCAATATATAATATCATTTTTATTTAATTTGATGTCACAATTTGCTAATTTTGATCAAAAAAGTTAAAAGTGAACAAATATTTAGGGACGGAGAGAGTTAATTTACATGCACCTGATGTGTAGTGCGCCACGAGTTTAAGAATTACCAAATTTTGGACAAATCTAAGTATACATTTTTTTTATATTTTTTCTAAACATTGTTTAAAGTTCATAAAATAGAACCATGTATCTATAGTTTAAAGAGAGCTTATAATGATCGAAAAAAGGTGGATTGATTACTAAACCGATTTAAAAAAATGATAATGCTATGGAGTATTAATTTTTGGATGTTGTTACCTTGTCTTAAATCATCTGCGAATCTAGACTCCTAGCAATCAAATTAGTGGATGCTGAGTATTAAATACACATATTCTATTTGTCTCATCCACTAAATTTTTGAGACGTAAGATACTCATACTATTTGTCCACTTTCATTTTTACACACCATCTAATACACTTCTTTAATCCATTTTATCTTGTAATTTGTATATTAAAAAATTATAGAAATTATATATTAATAATCTATATGTTAAGACAAATCAAACAAGATCACACATGACTATATTTAGGCTTACACATTGAAAGAATTTGATGAGTCAAAGTACTCGGATGAACAGTTCCAAAAGACAAAACTGGACGAATACTCCGGGACGGAGGGAGTATAGTGCGACAAAGAAAAGATATTCTCTAATAAAACCGTGTCGTTTTTTAATTAGGTTGCTCAGTTTAAATCACCGCACTCCCACCATTATCAGCGTCCTCAGTTTTCCTTTTTACATCATCATTCATGGGTGTGGTTGGCTGCATTCCCGCCATCCCCATCATCATCATTCAGCGTCCTCAGTTTTCCGTGGTTTCGTTTTCCTTCTTTTGGATGCATATATTTTGGCAAGACATTCCCATCCATCATTAGCAAATTTGTTTGATTTTGGATATTGCACCAGGAAGAATGTCACCAGCCTGGGTGTGCCCCTACATAATGAATCTTCATGTCTTCGTTCTCTCTTTTTTTTTTGTTTGCAACGAGTCGTTAGTTCAAAGTTGTACGGAGTATTAAGATGTGGAAGACTACGATACCAATTGGGGAAGTATGGAGATATAATGGGATTCCCAAGGTTTCCAAAAGATGCTCAACCGCATAGACGTGTGTCCATTTTATGGCAGAAACGAGTGATCAACGTGGGGAACATATCCCACGTCTTTCATCTGATCAGTGAGTCCAGTAAGCAAATCGGTTATATCCTCCATGTGTGCGTGGGACTTGTCTCGGGCCACGAATTCATGCCGAGTATCTCTAACCTCAATCCAACTATAGGCCACTTCTTTCTGCAATCCCTTTTCGTCCATGCGTCTGCGTACTAGACCGGCATCTTCCCACCTTCCAGCTTCAGCATATACGTTGGCCAACATTACATACCTGCCGGTGTTTTCAGGCTCAAGTAGAAGAAGCCTTTTCGCTGCCCTCTTCGCCAGCTCCATGTTCCCATGTACCCTGCAAGCACTAAAGAGTGCGCCCCACATTCCAACATGGTCTGAGCAGCCATCAGGAGATTTCTCAAGCAACTCCATGGCTTCTCTAAGCCTGTTCTTTCGTCCAAGTAAGTCAATCAAGATTGAGTAGTGATCCAACTGTGGCTGCACACCAAAATCCTTTTCCATCCTGTGAAGAACTCGAAGCCCTTCGGTTTCTAATCCCGAGTGGCTACATGCTGCTAAAACCCCAAGAAATGTGACATGGTTTGGGACAACACCAGATTCTAGCATTCTGTTGAACAAGGCGAGTGAAACCTTTCCTTGCCCATTTTGAGCAAAACCGGTAATCATTGAATTCCAAGTGACAATGTCCTTCTCAGTAGAGTTCTCAAACAGGGTTAGGGCAGATGTTGTATCACCACATTTACAGTATACATCCACCAGAGCATTAACTACATACACATTGTTGAAGCCACTCCCACGTCTTAAGATGTGCCCGTGAAGTTGCTTCCCTTTCTCTACCAGTGCTAAATCTGCACAAGCACCTAAAGCACACACATAGGTGAAATCATTAGGCCTAATCCTCGCTTCCTGCATTTCTGAAAAGACATTCAAAGCTCTATCTCCTCTTCCATTTTGCATGAACCCCGCGATGAGAGCAGTCCAAGAGACTGCATTCCTCACCGGCATCTGATCAAAAATCCCCTGAGCATCCACCATTCTCGACGCCCTCGCATAAGCAACAACCATTGATGTCCATGACACAACGTCTCTCTCATTCATCCGACTGAATATCAAATATGAAATCTCGGGTTCACTGCATTCCCCATAAGCATCAATCATAGAATTACAAACCACGCCATTCAACTGCAAACCAGCCACAAGAGCCGCGACGTGCATTTGTCTCAACCAGTAGCCAGCCCTCAAACGAGCACAAGCATTCACCACGCCCACAACAGTAACCTCGTCCATAACCAACTTCTCCCCACCCAACAAGATTACTTCTTGCATTCTCCTAAACATGTAGATAGATTGTCTATAATACCCATGCCGATTCAAGCTCGAAATGACGCTGTTATAGCTCACGACATTGGGTTCAGGCATTTCGTCGAGCAGCAGGTGAGCATGTTCGAAGCGGCCAATTCTTGAATGAGCAGAGATGATGGTGTTCCAGGAGTGAGTGTTCCTGTGGGGGAGCTCATCAAAAACGGCCTGGGCAGAGTCTATGGAGTCGCATTTGGCGTACATGTCAATGGCGCGGTTGGCCAGAAAGGTGTTGAGATTTAGAGCGGTTTTGATGAAATGGGAATGCAGTGTTCTTCCCAGCTTCAGGCTTTTGGATTTGATGCACTTTGATAGCAGAGTTGCATAGTATTGGTCAACGCTTTCCGTCGACGGCATTATTTTAGATTTAAAAAAAATGATGCCAAAAGAAAGTGGAAGGAAAGAAATTGATGCAAAAGTAAATGGTGAGAAAAGAAAATGATAAAATAATAGTTGTTTGGATGATAAGAAAATAAGAATGAAAGTAAAAAGACATTTTTGCATCCTATGTTTAGTTGATCAGAAAAGTAGTAGGAAAGAAAATTTAATGATGTAAAATGACAATTTTATCCTTCTCCTATTTTCACACAAAGGAAAGACAACATGCAAATGAGTAAATTTATAACTTTTCTCTTCTTTTGTATGGTTTTCTCACGTCATCAAGTGAGAAAAGACTTGGGCTTCCCACGCTCGCAGGTTGCGAGTATGTTAATGACCTTTTTAGCCTCCTTCCTAGAATTATCTCTTCACTCCAGGTTAGTATTAAATTGGTCAAAGGATGCACACATGCATCTCCGAATAGTCACTCTTCGTATTGTCCACCCAATGTCCAATCGAGTCGTCCCGCTCCTATATAAGAAGCACTTCGTAGTTGAGGAGAACACACTTAATCAACCTCTTTGCAAACTTTGTTCCAATTCATCGGTACAATGTTTCTACCGTGATAGACCATGCACGTTAGCAGTTTTATCTTGAAAGACAATCTCCACGTTGCCAGTGCGGGAGGCAGGCGATACTACTTTCGGTCCGGCACTCACATGCTCCAGAGTCGGTTCATCTTCCAGGCTTCTGATGGGTGTGTTCCACCCAGGACTCTTTTCGAATTCGGGTCCACAGCAGTTGCCCGGTCAAGAGGCAAATATATCACGACGGAAGATTTGAGCGAAAAAATAGAGTACCGATCGAGACCGAAAAGCATGTTGGTGTAGAATTTAGACTCACCAGTTAAAGTACGTGACTTCGAGCTGGTGGTAGTCTGCCCCCTTCAGAACGCAAGAGGCAAACCTATCGGGTAGGCAACTACGATGTAAAAATGTCACCACGAATGGCTCCAAAGTCGGTTGGCAGTAGTAACCGATTTCAACGAAAGATTGATGAAATAGTCCCTCAATCTCAGTTGGGCGATATGCACCAAAGGAAGAGTCATCAACACACGATGACAAGGGAATAAGACAAGTTGCTACCGGACAAGAAGAAGTCACCTTTCACTATCTGAGAACGTGGACTGATGTGGACGCGCGACGCTCTATCCCTCCTTTTCCTTATAAATACCTCTGTAACCTCAAATGAAGGGATACGAATTTGATCTCTGTAGAGTTCATATTGTAATAGCTCCCACCACTCTTCTACATATTTAGTAACAATTGGACTACATGTGTTTCCATCTACAGTCCTACCAGTCTTTTCACACTTTTCACTTTATAGATTCAGCGAACTATTCTAAACTCGGACTGGTACAATTTGTCTGGTGGTTAATTTACACCATTAGCTTCGTAGTTCAGTTTCTTTATTTTCTTTTATTGTAAATCCGAACAATATATAAGTTCGGATCTCTCTTCTGTTTCCATTCCACACTTTATTAGATTTAATAGTAAAGAGTATTAAGTTAAGGTAAAATAACATGTAGTACTACTTTTGTCTCAATTTAAATGGCATTTTTCGACTAATGACGTTTGACTGAAATTATTTTCAATTCATTTTATATGAGAATTGTGGTGGAATTTAAAAACTGAAATTTACATTTTACTTCATAAAACTATTTCTAAAATTTTACAAAACATGAAGCGATGTGACTATATTATTCTATCAAATGACTAATAAAAATATGTGAAACATGAATAAAATTTAACCTTGTAAGTAATACCGAGTAAACATGTAGTTTAATTTAATAGAGAAATATATATACCCTCTCGGAGTCTAGGTTAAGAAAAAATCTGGTTTTGATTTGGCACTTTTTTTCATTTTCGGCGCAGTTTCCTAGACGTAGATAGCTTGGCACATAAATGGGCCCCCACTAAGAAGGTCCATGGTCTTCTCTTGGCCGCACAAATAACCTCAATTGCCCCACCCATGATTACGAAAGACGAACTGCGTTGGGAATTTCCAACGAGTGGGCCGTTTTAACCATGGACAAAAATAGTTGACACGTCACTACCAATAAAAGGAAATTTTCGATTTATTTTCGATTTAATTTATTTCAAAGATAGTTTTGAAATAAAAAATAAAAATTATGAAAGCATATTTGAAAATCTTCCCCGTCCTAAAAAGTTCTTCTTTTTTTTTAAAAAAAAAAAGATGCATCCTTAAATTGAGTAATTTTAGTATTATTTTTAAATTTTACTCTATTTTTATAATAGAGTATGATAAATAAGTCATATTTAGAAAATAATACCAAAACTAGTCATTCTAAAGGGCGTGTTTTTTTCAAACAAGCATGATTTTAAGGGACGGAGGGAATAACATTTAAAGATTTCATAAAATTAGAAATGACAATACTATTTCATTTTAACAAACGAGTATTTCCAGTGCTCTAATACGCTTTTTATAGTTTATTGAAGCACAAATAGAATTTAGATTTATCCAACTAGTTCAGGAGATTTGAAGATTCTCTTAATCGTTGAGCACCCGACCATTTTAACCTATCATTGAATATAATGATTTCAAAATTTTAAAATAAGTTAAATTTTATTTTCAAATCATATCATTTCTCCCAAAAATTTTAAAATTTGAAATTTAGGTCAATAGTGAATTCGGGATATAAGAATGGACCCTTATTATAAAATCGAAACCAACGGATGAAACAAAATTGTAATTCAGCCACCAGGCCCACCAATCAAGTGATGACTAGAACTTTCTAGTTTCTTTTTTTCTTTTTTTTTTGAGGAAGATTTTCTATTTTTTTTTTTCTGTTTTTTTAAGGAAAAATTTCTAGTTTCTTAAGTTCCATACTCCCGTCCTACATTACTGTTCCTCCAAATTTAACATGGTTTTTTATTTGAATGAATATGTTGAAATACGGAGTAATAAAAAAAAGTAAACTTTCTTTCTTCACATAATCAGTAGGAAGCTCATTTCTCATTACTAATAAAAAAAGTTTATTCGAGTTCGAGCTTCTGCAGAAGCAGAAGTATTGTTTAATTAAACTTTACTAAGTTGAGAACAAAATAAAAAAATACTCCTTCCGTCCCTACATATATCTCACATTTGTTTTTTCAGCAGTTGCGAGAACTTTTCCTTATTTCTACGTTTTTATTGGTTATTTGATAAAATAAAATATTTTTGGCACTTCTTATTTCAAAGAACTTTTCATGTAGTTTTTTGATATGTAAATTTTACTCCGTATTTTTTTATTTCTATACCTATATGTAAATAAAATGAATTGAAAAAACTTGATATTTTACCTCGATAATAGAATTGTGAGATATATTTAAGGACGGAAGAAGTATTAAGTTGTTATCGAGTCAGTAACAATAAAATAAAAAAATATAATTGAAATCTAATTTCACCTTAAAGTTTGTACTCCCTCCGTCCCCTGTATTTGTCCACTTTCATTTTTACACGCCATCCAATGCACTTCTTTAATCTATTTTATCTTGTAATTTGTATATTAAAAAATTATAGAAATTATATATTAATAATCTATATGTTAAGACAAATCAAACAAGATCACACAGAACTATATCTAGGCTTACACATTGAGAGAATTTGATGAGTCAAAGTGCTTAGATGAATAGTTTCAAAAGTCAAATGTGGACAAATACATGAGGACGGAGGGAGTATTTGGGAAAAAACAAAAGAAAAAGAATTGGTGTCCGAAAGACAGAAACCCACAAAGGTTGGGTCCCCTAAGATCCACTAAGGAAGAAAGGTATGGTCGTTGCCGCTGTAAACTATATCTCTTCTTCCTGTTTATACATTCTATTCATTCATTCGTTCAATATCTCTCTTGAATCACCACACCTTGATACCTAAACCATGAATTCTTTTCTATATTTCAATCGAAACCCAATGTTCTTAGTCGATTCAAGAATCCCAAGCTCAATAAATCTTCGATCTTTTCCGCATTCCAAGCTTATTTCTTGCACAAACAATGGCGGTACAACTGACAAGAGTTGGAAGGCCAAGTATAAGAATCTGGCACTGAGTGGGGGAGATGGTAGAGCTCCTCCTCCTCTGCCACCGCCTCCTTGTAATCATCTTCCCGGCAAGACCATGAAAAGAGTGGTGGTTGAGGAGGAGGAGAAGGGCGGCGTCGGCGGGTCTTCTGGTGGGGCTCCGGTGGGAAGACAACAGATGATGGTTCTGTGTGGGTTTGGGTATTGGGTTCAAGGGTTCAGATCGTTCCCATGGCTGGCTCTCAATTTCCACATGGCTAATGGGATGAATATGCACCCTTCTAAATTGCAGCTTGTGCAGAACTCCGGCAATCTCCCTTTTGTGGCCAAGCCATTGTATGGTATCCTGTCTGATTCCCTTTACATTCGCGGTGCTCATCGACTCCCTTACATATCCATTGGAGGTAAATTACCACCTTCATGATTTTTGTCATGTCTAATTGATAGTCATTATGCTACTTGGTTTCTCTCTTTCTTTTTCTTCATGTAAGCTTTGCTTCAGTTAAAATCTCAGGTTTTCTTAACAATGTCTAAATTGAGTCTCTTGGTAGTTGGAGAAACCAGAGTCTGTGTGGGGTGTGATGGAAGATGAGATTAAAGTTAACTTGGAACTTCAGCCTTAATTTCCTCTCATCACAAGAAAAGCTTCTTTAGCTTCCTCTCATCATAGGGAAACAATTAGAGAAGTTTAGGATTTTTAGGCTTCCTGTTTGGATAGCCGATTTTGTCTTATTTGCTTACGAGCTTTTGAGTTGCAAAATTAAAGGGACACTTAGTTTACAAAGAAATAAAAACTTTATTTCCCTTTTTGGGAATGAACGACAATATTGGAACTTTTTACTCATCAAATTAAAGTCATGATATATTTGAAAAGAATTAGAAACCCTATATGCAAGTGTTGTGATTGTATGGTGAGTTGTTTGGTTCAAAAATCCTGATGAGTAAATTCATTCCCTCTCAGTTTTCCTCCAGGTTATAGCTTGGGTTCAATTAGCATCCTCTGCAAGTGAATCACTTCCAGCTCTCATGGCATGCGTTCTCCTAAGCAACCTTGGAGCTTCGATCACAGAAATCTCCAAAGATGCTCTAGTGGCAGAATACGGTCAGAAATACGAACTCCCAGGAATCCAATCCTATGCTTTCATGGCTTCAGCTGCTGGAGGAATGCTAGCCAACTTACTCGGAGGGTATTTCTTACTCAAAACAAAACAGCCCAAATCAATGTTTCAAGCTTTTGCAGCTTTACTTGCAGTCCAATTAGCAATGTCGTTATCCATGAGGGAAGATTCGCTCGGTTTGGCTGTCCAGCCTTCAAGTCATGAACTTTTACAGAAACCAATCCAAGAAAGTATAAAAAAGAAGTTTTCTGATCTCGCGGTTGCCATTAGAGAAGAAAGCATATATCGCCCTCTTGTTTGGATCGTTTTATCCATTTTGACAGTTCCGGTCCTATCTGGTTCGGTCTTCTGCTATCAGACACAGCATCTGAATCTTGATCCATCGGTTATCGGGTTGTCCAAAGTGACCGGCCAGTTGTTGCTCCTCTCCATGACCATTCTTTACAACCGGTACGCAAAGAACGTCCCTATGAGAAAACTGTGTGGCACTGTCCAAGTCTTGTATGCTTCTTCCCTGATTCTTGATCTTGTGCTGATCAAGCAGATGAATATCAAGGTGGGAATTCCAAATGAGGCCTTCGCGCTTTGCTTTTCAGGAATTGCAGAGACAGTTTCTACATTTAAGCTGTTGCCATTCTATGTGTTCATTGCAAGTTCAGCTCCATCAGGATGTGAAGGATCACTCCTGTCTTTATTGGCATCAGTGCTGTGTTTGGCGTCAATAATTAGTGGGTTCTTAGGTATTGGGTTGGCTTCTTTACTAGGGGTTAGCTCTAGTGATTATTCACGGCTGCCTGCTGGGATCATAATCCAGTTTCTTGCTGCGCTGGTGCCCCTTGGATGGCTTAAACTTTTGCCAATGTCACAGCCCTTGACCGAAAAAAGGAAGACAGGCAGTGGAAGTAGAAGGACAAAAAGGAATAGGAGGGTGGGAAGAGTTGTTCTTGGTTATATCTATTCCTACAGGCGAGAACGGCCATCTGATCTGCAAAGATGAGAATCTGAGTTTAGATTAGAGCAAAAAATTGATTTGGATTAGAAATCTGTGAAGATATTTACTGAAATTCATTGCCATCAGAAAGAAGTGAATGCAGGAATCAAATTTTCCAAATCTAGGGGGCGAAAAATATGTGAAGTTCTCTTAGACTGGTTTTCCTCTCCTAAAGAACTAATATGAAGTGAAACCAGTTGGGCGATACAGAATTACCGTGTTAGCACCATGGCATCAGTAGAACAAAGTACGATGAGTCGAACACAAACAGACAAACACCAGCCCTCATGCAGCCTTTACAGGCATCCAGATTCCGGAGAAACAGATCAATCAACCACGCTCCCTGTATAAAAAATCTTCTGCTACTCTATATTGAAGAACATGTCAAATATGTAGGAGTATACTTCGTCCAATCTTCAATATGAGGCATAATTTACTCTCTTTTTTTAGCGAAATCATATATAAATTAAGATTTGGATATAATTTCGATACTTATTTTCAATTTTCCAAGGTTGCACTGAGTACATTGGTTGTATTTTCAAATCTTAATGTGTCCAAAAAAGAGTTAACTTTCCTACATCACGAATTGAGTTCTCATCTTTCTTTTTGAGGCGTATCAAAATGAAGTTTTCATTTACTTTTGAGAAAAAAAATGTGTGGTTCATATTATTTCTCCTCTTCGGCATAAAAGCAAATGAAAACTTTTATTCGGGACTGAGAGACTAATAAAGACTAGAGGGAGGGAGGCAAATTGGCACAATCTATTTGGAAAAGTTGATTACACAATAGTTGCCAAGGTGAACAGCTATAAGAAAACACCACTTTGGAGAGCATGTAAATATGAATCAATAAACATATGAATACACAAATATATACTTCGTATTCTTAGTGAAAATTGAAGCCTTCTTCAAGCATCTATCGTTTGCCACACTGCAAATTATAGAAAATATAGGTTTATGAGCTTCGAAAAGTACAATGGCCAGAAACACATCTGCTATAATGGATGGAAAGTGAGAGATACATACTTATCAACGATGGACAGGGCGAGAGCCATGGCAAAAACAGCTTCTCCAGATTGGACACTTGAAGGAGAGGCATGAACATGTAACTGACTCACAGCAGTAGCAAGTAAAGCAGGGAAATTCATAGCAGCAACCCCCACAAGACTGTGGTCGTTTGCAGCAGTGGCAATTTGAGCAGGTCCGTCTTTGTTTACAGCAGTGGCAACTGGGGAAGCTCCATCTGCAGCAGAAGCCGCCTGGACACTTGGGCTTTTTACATCAGCAGTGTAGACGCTTACAGGAGCAGCCCCTACAACCTAACCACGCACACAAGCAACCTGAAAAAATAGTGCATCTGCTTTGTCTTGAACCGTTGCAATGATCACATGTCCAACCGGTACAGCAATATTCGCACCTTGTTGGTTCAGGCTTCTTTGTTCTGCAATACATAAAACCAAAATCAATACTTTCCTAATTGGTGATAAAAAGATAAAAAAACTAGTGCCCTTTTTTGGCTGGAACGGAAGGAAATGACACCTTTACGATTATTTTCAATTTTTCATGCATTTTTCTCTTTATCTTATTTAAAATATTTATAAAAATATTTTAAAGTCAAGAACGGAAATAAATGTCAAGAAGGGAAAGGAATGTCACTAACATCGGATGAGTAACAAAATTGCTAGGACTATGACCATTCGCACCCGCTCCAAGAGGTACCACGTGCACACCCGTATATAGGGCATCTTTGTTGTCTTCTCCTATATGAGCTACGGGCATATGCCCATACCTCCCATGTTCTCCAAATGTTTCAAATTCACCCGACCTGAAGATCAAGTCCCCAGAGAAACTATGGTTTCCAATTTGGATACTGAACAATGATTCATTCGAAGCATGGCTCCAGTCTGTTGGTGTGGACGACTTGCTCCTGAAAATTGAAGAGGGTGGTCCATTTGGGGAACGTTCGGCAGCCTTTGAGGCAGAACTCATAGATGTGTCCAGTTTTTTACAATTACTCCAAGGTTCAAATGAAAAAGATGAGCCCGGAGTGGAGGTATCACTTGTTAAAATTGATATTGAAATTCTACCGGAATCGTCAAATTCTCCTAAATTTTCCATGACCTGAACTGGAGGCGATTGCATTGGAGACCAGTTTTGTGACGCAGATTCATCTGAAACCTTAGAGGCAGAACTCGTAGATGCAAAGAAAACTTCTCTCGGAATGGAATAGTTTCCATTTGCATCATTAATGTCATTCAGAGCTTTGTCAAATGAAAAAGCTGCCAATGTTGTTTCTGGCTCTGTTCTGGAGAAATCATGAGAACTCGATGATGATGATGATGACGACGATGGTGGCAATGATGATGATGATGCTGAAGGGGGAGCCTTTGAAGGTTCAACTTCACTTCCATGGTCCATTACTGTTTGATAAACACAGAAATGAAATACTGCAAAGCAGGAAAAAAAAGTTGCCCTTTAAATTTTCTTAAGGTGTAAGAGGACTAGATTAACTCTATACAAGCACCAAGTGCCTGAAATTCAGTGCAGGTCACTCATTCAAACTAATTATTCTCATAGAACTCTGAAAAATCTTGACTCTCTTTTTCATTAATTATGGCTGCTGAGTTTAATTTTAAAATAGCATTCCCCATCTACCCACATAAATGGAACCCTCAATTTTGGTCTTGACCCGAAGTTCAAAGTTCATAAATACACACACACAAAAAAACTCCAAGACTCTTTTTTTTCGTGCAAATTAAGGGGAAATTGCAACTTACTCCTTCAAACGATAGCCATTTTGGGTTGCGCCATTCTCAGCACAAAAAAGAAAGCGCCTTTGGTTGATCTTGCCGGAAGCAGCTCCGGCAACCATAGTCCGCCCTCACACAATCTACAGAAACATAAATCCCATAAAACTATTGTCCAAAACGAAAAAGGAAACGAGATCATATAGCACAATTTCCGCAATTTGCAACCAAATAACCTGAAATGCGAATTTAAGAAAACGTAAAAATGGGATCTTTTTTAAGGAACATAAACTACCTAAGAATTGGCATACAATTTTTCCCAATTGCCCAAACGGCACTGTCTCTTTACGGGTGTATCCCGAGAATGAATGGCGTTCAGGGTTTCTCCGTATGATTTTCTGCGCGTGTTGTAATTGAGAGAAAAATGCATGAAATTGATGGAGATTGGAAGGAGAAAGAGGAATTAGGGTTTTTGAATGAAAAGAAAGAGAATAATATAAATTGATCAATTGAAAACGCGCGAAGATACAGATCGGAAGGCAAAGCGGCTGTTACGGGCTGTGCTCTCTCTGAAGATGACTACTCGGGGTAAATATGAGTATCTCTATTTGGCGCCACGACGTAAATCTTTAGTCACGCGCTTAATGCGTGCTTAACAATATTAAAAAAAAAATGCATTTTCTTTTTCACCAAGGTTCTCATGACATTGTCGCCGGCAATGTCATGGAATGACACGGGAGTACTACAGTGACTCGTTTGTAAAATTGACGGTTACTACCCGTACCCGCAGTAAACCCCCCAATCCCCACCCCGCCCCGACCCGAACACGCTCCTCACCCCCTTCAATTGCACCCCACAAGTTGATTTTAACTTTGGAGTCAAAATTTGCTTTGACTTTGCTTTGAATTCCAACACCTCATTCACATCTCCATCAAAACCACTTTTGTGACGTCAAATCTCGTAGAAACATTCACATCTCTGTAGTGCACATCATTAATTATTTGCACGTATATATGGAGTATTATTTTTGTTAATGAAACTGAATTTTATTTATGGATGGCTCGCCGTTGAATGTTTTAGCTCGACCAAAAGTGACCATTATCACAGAAGGATAAGGCACATCAAGGTTGACATATTTAAGAAATTGGTCAAAATACTTTCCCCGCAACGTACAATTCAAGCGTTCTCCCCTAAACACGTACAAAAAAGAGTATGTAAGAATCAATGTGTAGAGTAATTTAAAGTGAAATTTGCACTGAATAGGATTAAAACATAAGTCATTTCCTAATGTAAGACTTAAACTTTTTTATTCACTAAATAGGACTTAATAATGACTAGTGAAAGGAATAATGTCCAAGTGATGTTGGACATTTAGTTAAATAATGACTAATAAATAATGACCAATGGTCCTACATTGATAAATAAAAACATATGATCCTATATTAAGAAAATCATTATGTTTTAGTCCTATTTAGGTAAATTATTTTAATTTAAAGAGTAATTTACCTAAATAGGACAAAAACATAATGACTTTCTCAAAATAGGACCATATGTTTTTATTTCCTAATGTAGGACCATTGATCATTATCTATTAGTCATTATTCAACTAAATATCCAGCATCACTTGGACATTATTTTTCTCCTTAGTCATTATTAAATCCTACTTAGGGAATAAAAAAGTTTAAGTCCTACATTGGTAAATGACTTATGTTTTAGTCTTATTCAGTGCAAATTACACTAATTTAAAATGTATATGAACGTACTCATGAATCATGATCCTCAAGAGTTATCTCAATGAGCTTGTCTTCTTTATGCAGTGTTACTTGTGTTCAGATTCTTGAACGGCCTACAATCTTTCCAATCACACCTAAAAGCAAATAAAGTATATATGTTATAAATATTATATATGTATATATATAAATTATTTTACAACAACTGTATTCAAATGTCATGTACCTGGCAAGAAATTTTCTTTTTCAACCGGTCGCTCCCGAATACTCGAAAAGGGACGTAAGTCCAAACATCAGTTCAGGAAATCCTTGTTTACTCAGTGTCTTGACGTCAGTTTGGGTAAAGAAAGCCAACATATAAGAATGCGGGATTGTTTTGTAGGTTTGGTAATTGTCATGAATCAAAAGGTTCTTTATGCCAAAAACACATCACTCAACAATCTGATTTTTAAATCGTTGATTGTAAGGTTTCTTTAGTTGGCAATGAATTCTTGTACCATGTTTAATAGCAAGATTAAACATAATAATTTTTTTAATATGAACGCCTCAATGTTAATACATAATTTACAGTGTATTATTTTTATATGTATGATGATGAAATGGGAACAATGAAGAAAATGAAAAAAGACACATAGTCATCGTGGAAAATAATTTCCATGGACTCTCCGCTTCTACCAAAAGAAGCAAGTTCGTAGACACGAACGGCCCGGACATGGATAGCAACGGCACCACTGCCCCTCTCAAGATCTGCGAGTTTTGTCCGTAAAATATGGGAATTGGGATTGGATGCCATTGTTGTTCCTATTAAGAACTCCGAGAAATATTTAAGATTTTTTTTTGAGTATAAAAAGGATTAGAGTGTTATGATAGTATTTGTATTTAAAGGTTGTTTGTTTACTTTTTCAACCACCAATATTATTTCTCACGTAGGCGCATATGTGACCTCTTCTCCAAAAGTGACTCAATATCCAAAAAAAAAAAAAAAAAAAGAGGACAGATCTCTCTATCTATGCCCATATCTCCAAACCGGTTCGCCATAGTGTCTTAATTAGCTTGGGCGGGAAAAGATGCAATGTTCGAATGAAGAGAGAGTAAATGCGAGTTAATAGCTTACTACTCCGTATATTTCTTCCCCGTTTCCCCCACAAAACCCTACTCTTTCTTACCTGCAGATTCTCACCGCAAAAATCCACATTTTAACCACAATGTCCGCTCATGGAGCTCCGGATTTGTTCCCGGATCTCATATTCTCCGAGATCCTCATCCGTTGCCCCGCAAAATCCATCTGTCGCTTCAAATGCGTATCCAAACGTTGGTGTTCCCTCATTTCGAACCCCCCGCTTCGTCGCTTCCTACGCCTCTCGTTCTGCTCCTTCGTGGGTTGCCGTGGACCGCGTGGTCCGGGTCGAAAAGGGTCCGAAGGAGTTCTTTCTCTCTCTTCGCGAGCCCCCAGATGTGAGCTCCCTCTCCGTTTCGCCTCACTTGGTGGAACAAGATCTTGTTGATTTCAGCAGTAACCAATTCCCAACCGCGATTTCCGGCAGCGGCGGGTTTCTTCTCTTCTCAGTTGCCAGGAAGCGGGACCCGTATAGTGAGAAAGAGAAGAGGCCAAATTTTTTCTCCCACGAACGTAGTTATGACACTCTTGCCCTCTGCAACCCAATCACTCACCAATTGATTGAGCTTCCCAGCTCTCCGAACTTGTTAAGCAGTCGTGCTGCCATCGGGTTTGCCACTAGGGCTGCGGGTCCAGGTGGGTCGGTTCTAGACTTTGTGGTGGTGGAGTATGCACCCGTTATTGGGTCAGCTGCTGCTTCATTGATGATATTTTCGTCTGAGACTGGGAAATGGGAGGATAAATCTGCAAATTATATGCTGGGTATGCACTTTTGGAACCCTGGGGGAGTGTTTGAATTTGATGGCCACTTGGTTTGGGTTGATAGGAGTTGTGGGTTCATTGTTTGGGATGACCCCTTTAGCAGGGAGAAAGTGGCTCAGCTTCGGTTTATTCGGCTTCCCCAGGGTTGTTCTAGGCGATTTGATACGCCAAATTTATCGGATGAGCGGTGTGCTGGGGCTGGAGATGGGTGTATTCTGTACATGGAATTGGTGGAAAGCGGCGAGTTTTTGAGGTTGTGGCAGTGGAAAGATTATGATAATGGAAAATGGGATTTAGTGCATAAATCATCTTTGAAGGATATTTGGTTTGATGACATTTGCTTTGGTCGCCGGCTTCCTAAGATGACACCTCAACTTCTCTTCAACCACCCTTTTGATGCCAATGTCGCCTTCTTTAATGTTGGAGATGTCATTTACTCGGTGAATGTTGTGGATAAGAAGGTTTTGGGTCGTGCTAACCCCTCTAGGTTGACTAAAGATATATGGACGTTCCCTTTTCTGCTCCCATCATGGCCAGCTTCATTCTCACCTGTTTTGCGTGAGTTGTTCAATCTCTTACGTTCCTTTTCTTAGCATGTATACAAATTGAGTAGTATTATGTACGGAGTATATTCTTATGTTTATGTATACAAATTGAGTAGTATTATGTATACCATTTTCAAGCTATTCTGCCATTGAAATCCCATATATGGTTGTGTAATTGTGTAGGCTGTGTATTAATGAGTCACATAGATCAGTTACACGGTGTAACAAAAGAGATCACGAGGTAGCATCACAATCCTTGTGCTTTTTCATGCTCATGTTTTTTGTTGCAACAACTGAAGTCTTTATTTTTTTTCTCTAAGCTTAGTGAGGTTTTTGTGCTTCTTGGACTTGATTTGTTCTCTATAATTTGTATCTATTGATGTTGTCCTGGGGATTGATCATTATGCTTCTAAGCTACTTGTACACACTAGCTTTTTAATTGTTGTCTAACAATTTGGGTTCTATAATATAGTTTGATTTAGGTTTCCTTGATAGACGAGCATTGTGGGGGACTTTCTGCTTTTGCTTGCATCATTGCAAAAATTCTAGTCATGCATGATTCTTTGAACTAGTTAGTTGCCAAACTATAATTTTCATGGTCATGCATGGTTCATTTAACTAGAAACTTGAGGCTATGATTTTTTTGGTGTACTCGAAGGGGTGAATTTTTTCTTTCATTATCATTCTAGTTGTCAAACAAGATTTTTTTGCTCTGCGGAGACAATCCAAACTTGTCAACGGAGTTGAATTCAATGGGGCAGTTTAGTGATTTTATTGATTACCCCTTTTAGTTAGTAACTATTTTGGTAAGTGTCATTAACCTCTGCCAAGTTCAGTACTTCTGGTATTTTCCCCTGTATTCGTCATGTTATTATTCTCTACACCCTGGGTATAGCAATAGATATTTCTTTGCATTCTTGGTTCGCCTTGTAATCTAATCAACTTTTAGCACTTTGAACTTATGTCACCTCGTGGTTAGTCTACATCCTTCCCATAAGTTCATCTGACTATCTCATTAAGGTTGTGTTATGGTCGTTGTATAAAACATTGAAGCCTGACAATTTAACTTTTACCATGATCTCACTTCATCTTGCTTGCTTGCTTGCTTGTGTGTTGTAGTTGCTTCTGTAGCAAAGGACCACGGGAACAAACACTTTAATGACAAAAGTTGGAATGAAGCTGTCACATGCTATTCACAAAGCATCAAACACGCGCCAACTGCTGTGGCATATGCGAACAGGGCAGCTGCCCATCTCAAATTGAGCGAATACAAACAAACCGAGGCAGATAGCACGGAGGCATTGAAGCTGGATGATAAATACCTGAAAGCGTACGCTCGCCGAGCAATAGCACGGAAAGAACTTGGGAAGCTTAAGGAGGCTGAGGAAGACGCAAAGCTCTGTTTGAAGCTGAATCCCAACCAGAGTGACATTGCAAGCCTCCATGCTGAAATCACGTC